TTTATATATGTATCATTGTATACGTGCACGAAAGGATACGAAGCACCTTCGAAAGTACCCAGGTATAAAATAAGATATTCGTAAACGTGCTGTATACTCTAGGCTGTGAGGTATCATTACTTGTGTTGTGGGACGTGACTGTTTTGAAAGCTTTGTTTATGAATCCGCCGAATCCATGAATTTGAAATGTGAATAGAATATAAACGTGTGATTTCACTTCGCCGACCAGAAATGACTAGCGTGTTAAATACACGTTTATTGTAGCGATCGATATGAATTAACAAGAAATGCTGTGGCATGTGCCACTGTCGTTGGATCCAGAACAATATCTTCTAGAATACCGGATAACAGCTCTATATTTACAGCAGAAGCAAACGCCATCTTAACAGCTCTTAAATATATTAATAAACACCGTAAATATAAACAATATATCATCTTTTCAGATTCTCTTTCGTGTCTTCAGGCTATTAAAAATCTTTCTTGCAAACATCCACTTTTATTAGAAATTATTGAATTGTACAATGAACTTGCTACTGGCCAATGCGACATCGTCTTTTGTTGGTTACCCAGCCACGTTGGCATTTCTGGGAACACGATGGCTGATATTGCTGCTAAGGCAGCCCTCAACAAATCTGTGACACCACTTCTTATCCCATATTCTGATTATAAAGCCAGCATTAGAACATACATCCGCGATCTAATGCAGAAGAAATGGGACACCCAAGTTGGTATTAATAAATTACATGAAATAAAACCCTACATTGGCTATACCTACTTGGGTTGTCAGTCCAGATTTGAGGAGGTCATTATGCGACGATGTCGCATTGGCCATACGCGTTATACTCACAAATACCTATTGAAAGGTGAGGATCCTCCGTTTTGTATCCCTTGTGATGAGAGAACCACGGTCAAGCATGTCCTGCTTGACTGTGTTGAATTCTCCATCATAAGGGATAAATATTTCAATGTAAAAACAATGAAGGATCTTTTTACAAATGTTAATTATCATTTAATTATTGGCTTTTTAAAAGAAATTGATTTAATGAATGAATTTTGATTAATATGTTCTCTGTACATAGATGTATTTTAATTATTGGTAGATTTGATTAGTAACTTAGATTGTGAGTGGCAGTGCCCTCAAAGGGGGTTGAAGTAGCGTAAAATTATTGTCCTCCTGAGAGGGTACGTAAGTCCCAAAACATTCAAAGTAAATTTCAACTTACTACTCTTTTAATGGTAGAATATATGTTCGTTTAATTTATGGCTAGATTATCTAACATTGCTAATAGCTGAGGGGATGGTGTAAATCCAGCTAGGGTCCATGCAGGAAGCCAATGTACTGTAAGTCCCCATGGTCCCTAGTATGGTGATCTACCTTCAGTTGTTGGCGATCTATAGCCCAATTTTATATTGTGTTGTCTAAAATGTTTTAGACTCTATTACTAGTTTTATCTGTATATGTAATATTCTAGTTGTTTTACTGTCCTTCGTTGACAGGTTTTTATAGTTTGCTATTGCTCATTATGCATAAAATTAATTGTTCTCGTCACGATATGGCTGAAATATTGCCGATGTGACGTTAAATTTTAACTCACTCACTCACTAACAAGAAATGCTACATAAAATATGTTATATTTGGGGTGACACACTTCTTAGTAAAGTTTGGTTTAGTACCATCCGGGATTCGAACCCACGCCCTTAGGGTCAGGCACCTTATCGTCAGCACACAAAGTCACCCGCGGTGGCTGAGCGGGTTAGACGGCCGACTTTGTGTGCTGCATGGCGCGATAAGGTGCCTGACTCTAACGGTATGGGTGTGGGTTCGAATCACAACAAAAGTACTAGAATCTGTATTTTACTGAAAAAGCGTCCGCCCGGGAGAGCGGAAGGTCGCGGGTTCGATCCCCGGCCGCGTCATACCAAAAGACGTTAAAATATGGTAGTTGTTGGTCCCTGCCTGGCGCTCGGCATTAATGGGTACAACAAGGACTGGTCGGCTCGGAGTCAGTATAATGTGTCTGAGTGGGGTATTCATGCTTCACTGCGGCATGGTATCTCAGTGGGCTAGCACTATAAAACCAGCTTAAGTCTGGGCTAGTACAAGCAGCCGCACATACACATACACACGCATGCACGTCGTCATATGAGCGAAATATTTTCAAGCACGACGTTAAACCCAATTTCACCTCACCTCACTTTACTGAAAAAAGTGTAATCCCAAATATAACATATGTTACATTTGACCACTTTCTAAATGACATTGTGTATTCAAATATATTCTGTAATTAATACCTGATGAAATGTCTTCAAAACAAGTGAACATTGTAAGGAATTAAAATATATGAGATACGAAACATTTAATTTTGCGTCCTACCGACCTAAACGACGTCATCACGCAATCACCCGCGCCCACCCACCTCCCATACCTCCACCCTACTAACATCCACCCCTCCTGTCCCTGGTCATTACTAGAGTTTCGTATACTTATAATACTGGCGAAGCTCGTATATCACTTTCAAAACAGGCCGGGCATACATGTTTATAGGTTTGTATATACTAAACACTCAGTGTTGTGAAGCATAGGCGGATCTAGCTGAAAGTTTGTTAAATGACCATTGAAACTCGGGTGGAAATGAAGTGTGCACCCCTCATTTTCTCAATAGTGTGCAACCTTCCCCCCCGCCCTTCTCAAAAAGCTGTATCCGCCCCTGTGAAGTACGTACTTATTCATATACAATAACCTAGTTACGAAGCGTTATACCCGTTAGCATGTTCAGCCATGTTCCATGTGGTCTACGATTCATATCGGTGTTTTAAGATTGAAGTCAGCTGAATGGCCCGTATTCCATTTTCCAAAAAGGGTCACGCTTGCTCCCTGATCATGTAAATACTTCCCGGTAGTATAGGCTTAGCCTTCAAACTAAAACACGTTTGTCTTCCGTCTGAACTTCCTTTGCGCGCATTTCATTTCCGTATGTACAGTAGAGGTCAGACTGACCTTTGTTATATCCAGGTTAGGCAAATTTCAACAAGAGCTAAATGTGCAACCTGTATAATGCTGTCGACTGAAAATCACTTTCGCTATGTAGACAATAGGAAGGTCTTCCTCTCTCTATATCTCACAAACCAATCGGACATAAATTGTGTATACTGTTTTGTTGTGAATCCAGGAAGGAAGACTGATGGGATATAGTCGTCTGCATGTTTCTTCTGTCATGCATCTTCTGTTTCAACATTTCTGACATTTGAGCACATCAAACCAATAGTCCCAGTCCCTGAACCACATTATTTCCCCTTCTGCCCGGCGGATACAGCTTTTTGAGAAAGGGTGTGTGTGTGTGTGTGTGTGTGTTTGCACACTATTGCGAAAAGGAGGGGTGTACACTTCATTTTCACACGAGTTTCAATGGTCATTTAATAAACTTTCAGGACAAGGGGCACGCGCACCGTCGTTCCGCCTAGGCCCTTTCTGCAACGCTAAAGCCCTAAATGAAGCAAGTCTGGATTTCCTCAGGTTCAGGCTGGCTCTCACTCCTCACTGGGGCTCCTTTTCAATTGAAAAGGAATTGTTTGTTTCTATCAAACTTGCATATATTCAGAGACTAAGTTTAAGTCTAACCCTACAAGGGAACAGTCGTCTAACTTGTTTGTTATTTAACATCGCACTCATCAGTAGTCCATCTATATAGTGGCTATCTGTAAATAATCGAGTCTGGACCAGACTATCAAATGATCAACATCATGAGCATCGGTCTACTCAATTAACTGGGATACGATATGACATGTGTCAACCAAGCCTGACCACCTAATCCCGTTAGTTGCCTCCTACGACAAGCATGGGTTGCTAAAGACCAATTCTAACCCGGATCTTCACGGATTATAGTTAGCTAAATACATGTATACTGTCATCAGATGATTATTTTTCTGTTGTCTTGTTTAATGCCCTGTTATAATTAATTTCTTTTCCGGGAAATAGAATAAAATGTACTACGTGTATTTTCTAAACGTCAATACGCATGAAGTTTACACACCCATGCAGACATCTTGACGCAGTTCACAAATTTCGATCCATTTCGATTAGTGGTACTGACACTGACAATAAATACATTTAATACTGATCCTTATTGAGCCCATCACTTTACACTGCAAAAACATTTCAAAATGTTAACGCAAACATGCTCCAGATGACGTGATGCCGACGTCACAAAACTCATGACATTAAAATCATTATTCACGAGGATAGTTTAAAGTAAACTTTTAAGCCATTAAGCCCATCGAATCTACAAATCCGCCGTTTGTACATTCTGTCATTATAAGCTTCATAGTAAAGATTTTGCTGCAATAAGGCTAATGACAGGTAGATATCTTGTGGACCGACAAGACTTGGCGATCTCTCGATCATAGCTTGCCCACTTGATTGCAACAGTTTTCATTCATTTTTCAAAACATTTGTTTTTTCACCCATTTTGTAAAAACGTATTTCGGCTTCTCGAACACAATTTTTGCAAAAATATGAATTAATTAAAAAACACATGGTTAGGTGCTGAGATGGTGCCTTGCGGGAAGGTTTTCTGTGTCATGTATTTTCATATATTTTTTAATTTGCTTTGACCTGCGAACTAAGAGGAACCTTTCATCTAGCAAAGAAACCAAATCTAATCAACAAAAAGGAAATCAACGATTAAAAAAACTGAACTAGTATTTATTCATTTTGTATATGTCATACTTGCGTCACTGCCCAAAATAACTGGTCATACACGGCCAAATATAAACGTGATTCCTCTACTTGCCTGCAATGTGACGGAGTCGCTTCGCAACCACTGGCGAAAATGTAGGCAACGTTGCCATGGCCACTACCTCCGTCGTATACTATTTCAGCAAGTAACTGTACACACAATCGTTCCACGTGTCATTTACACCTGTAACAATCGAGTTTCTCCATAAATGTTATGACATCACGGGCTAAATATACACCTTTGATCAGCGTTCCCATAATTCTTTCTCATCTTCGTCACAGTCGAGCATTGAAAACAGGAAGTGTTCGGTGGATTTTATTCTCGGGAATCACCGGCTGTCGAATTTTATACAAATTTCTTATCTGCAATTTCACTCTTTGAAATTGTACATATTTATGTTGTGATTGGATTTTCACTCTGAAGTCTGACGGAAAACGTGCGTTTCTATCCTTTCCATAAAATTTTGGTTGAGAGTCGGTCGACGATCAAGCTTCATGTCATTTGGTAAGTTGGGAGAATTCAGTGTACCCAATGCGCAGGCGCCGTGACTGAGACGAAACGGTATGATAAAAATAGAAAAAACAAGGGTGTCATTTGTAATTTGTGCCATTGCATAATACAGATATCGTTTATCTGAATCGACTTATGTATTATGTGATCCGTTTAAAAATAAAATGCAGTCCAAACAAATTTCAACATTATGCATTACTCCCATCGGCCGCACGTGTCGAAGTAGGCCGCCATATTTGTTGGGTCTTACCCCTAAATCAAGAGGAAATCATTACATCTCTCCGGATAATTTCAGGTTTTATTGTCGTTTCGAGAAATTTTAACTTCATATGTACATGTGTCATTGTAAGAATGTGTAAAGGAACCCCATAGCCTGAATTGAAACGGTCTAATTATGACGGTCTCTTTGTGGTGCTTTGTCCTGCAATGTTCTAGAAGACCGTTCTAGAACTAGGATATTGCTTCGATTGCTGTATTATTGAGTTTACTCAGGTCTAAGTTTGGATTTGATCAACAATGCATGAGTTCTGGTGTATTTTAGTAGCCAACACAGCACTGGTAGAATATATATAAGTGTGTGTGGAACAGGGTCTAATTGCGACGCCACTCGGAACTGTCATCGATCTCACCTTTACGAATATTGTTGGTACCTAGATGCGTTTTAAGTTGGGCCTAATACAAAAGCGGCCAGTACGTTAGACTGGGTACAGTGGGTTACTCTGGAAATCTCACAAGAACAGTTATAGGTTGGTAAGAGTGGTTCTTAGACGATATTATTTCATTGCAGTATATAACTGCCACAGTCGATTTTTTTACCTGGATTAATATTCTAGAATGCAGTTGTGAGTGACACTTACTTTTGTATTTCCTGCCAACTCACTGTTTGCATAGAGGAGTTGGGGTCCTAATGTTGGACAACAAGGTTTATGTATTAATTAACGGCTTAAATTGTTTTTCTTATGGTTGAAATGTTTTATTACTTCATTTGTTGTGAAAACTTGTTGGGGTAAGAGCTCTGCCCGTAACCCCGGTTCAAAAGTGTTCAAATGTATTCTATTGATTAGGATTATTTTGAGGGGTTAGGAGGGCTTTTCATAAATAAACATAGGCCTACATTCTTAGGCATAAAATGATTTTTAAAAATACAGGGGGTTACAGGCGGAAATCTTTCCCTTGTTGGTAGACTTCAGCTCCAGTGAACCAAGCTTTAAAGTAGCCAGCACATCCATAACTGTGTCCATATTTCTTAAACCAGTTGTCAAGTTGTAACATTTGTGTGTTTCCAAATATATTGCCAGTGAAAGGAGGCAAAAAGGTGTATTTAGGATTCCAAATATGTGGCTAATAAATAGGGAATATATCAGATAGTTAAAAATTATATTTTGTTACGGTTCTGTTCAATTCGTAGAAATTCTGTAGATATAGTGACTTAGGTATTGGAAACCAATGTAAATAAGTCAAGTGCCTTACTGCTTCAACTGGGGAAATTTTCTTGCATTTCATCTGGCAAGTATGATGAGCAAGGCAAAGCTTTTAGTCATGCTGTATATTGAATCGAAGACGTTCAGCATAATGGACATGCTCTATATTGAATCGAAGACGTTCAGCATAATGGACATGCTCTATATTGAATCGACGTTCAGCATAATGGACATGCTCTATATTGAATCGGAGACCTTCAGCATAAGGCACATGCTCTACATTGAGTTGAAGATGTTCAGCATAATGGACATGGTTTTTCTGTTGCAGATGTCCAGTAATACGGACGCTCCACCGGCCAAGAAACCAAGAACTGAGTCCAATACGGGTGCAAACTGCACAAATAACTCAGGTGTAGCTACAAACAGCAGGGTAAGTTTCATCAGTAGGACAGTTTCTTTAATGTTGACCAGGTTGAAATCAAGAAGTGTCTCTGTCTGTTGGACATGCAGTGAAGATGAAGATCGTGGTTAGAATTGATCTTTACTTCAGTAACTCATGCTTGTTGTAAGAGGCGACTAATGGGATAGGGTGGTCAGACTTGCTGATTTGGTTGACACATGTAGATTGATGCTCATGCTGTTAATCACTGGATTTACTGGTCAATTATTTACAGACTTCTGCCATATAGCTGGAATATTTCTGAGCGGCGTTAAACAACATTAAATAACCTGAAACATGATCTAAGCACCAAGTGAGATGATTCATTCTGTTGAGGACAAATGAAAAAAACATTGTGTTTCAGATAACCCTGTTGACCAACTGTTTTAATCCTGACCTGTATCAGATTGTGTTAATTATGTTAAAAACACCCCTGTGATTTGTCTAGATATGCTTAGAGGTTATATTCAGCCCAGTGTCTGCAGTCTAAAAATTGTTAGTTTGAATATATATAATCCCAGTACCTGAATTTGCAGGGGTGGTGGGGTAGCCCAGTGGTTAAAGCATTCGCTCATTATGCCAAAGACCCAGGTTTGATTCCCAACATGGGTACAAAGTGTGAAGCCCATTTCAAGTGACCCCTGCTGTGATATTGCTGGAATATTGCTAAAAGCGTTATAAAACCATACTCACTCACTCTGAATGTACAAAAATTTGAACATTAAAAAATATATTCTGAACAAAGACACAATCTTTTTACCTCCAGTTTGCCTGCCAAAGGCTCTTGTTTGGAATCATAGATAAGTCCCTGGTACCTGCCAAATCTTGAATGGGTCCAATTTACCTGAAACAGAAGTGTCATTTTGAAGGCCTGGCCTGGCCTGCCACACATTGTTCCCCAGTGGGTATTCCAGCTTAGATTAGGTCCCCAGTATCTCTAGCTTGTTTTTTGAGGTGTTAGGATGTGAGCAAGTGGTTTAGTGATTGTTATCATGACGTTCCACCCCATGAAGTGAGGATTACTAATCTTTGGATTGTCTGGTCCACACCCCATTGTTCGCACACATGCATTGTATGGTTATAATAATTCTGAGTGTGGCATTGAACACACATTGAACAGCCACATTCACGAACTGAACTTTCATATACTTACACAGGGATTGCATAAGGCTCCTGAAATTCGATGTCATCTCGACTCCCTCAGTCTTCAAGGGAGTCTATGCTTATAATAAGGGGTCATTTTAAAAAAGAAAATAATTTCTTGGAAAATTTATTTACGAATTCAGAAGCAATTAATAATCAGACATACCCATGTCTGTATGGGATATTAGGATCTGCCAATGTAAAATTGAATCATGTCAATTTGCATCAACAGATTCAAGTATTGCGATAACGAAAGTAATGGCAAGGTGGGATGACACCAAATTTGATTTTTAACTATTTCTGTCGATGCCAAAGTGTTTGTACATTTATGTTTGTTACTTGTCATGAGAGTGGGTTGACTTGTTGTTGTATCAAATTGACCAAACAGAAAACCTTAGTACTTCGATGCAAATTGTTTCAAATGTTCAAGGACCCGTGAAGATCCGGGGTAGAATAGGTCTTCAGCAACCCAAGTTGCCACAAAAGGCGACGATGCTTGTCGTAAGAGGCGACTAACGGGATCAGGTGGTCAGGCTCGCTGACTTTGTTGGCGCATGTCATCGGTTCCCAGTTACGCAGATCGATGCTCATGCTGTTGATCACTGGATTGTCTGGTCCAGACTCGATTATTAACAGACCGCCGTCATATAGCTGGAATATTGCTGAGTGCAGCGTAAAACTAAACTCACTCACTCACTCTCTCACTCACTCACATGTTCAAGATTTCTGCATCTGGCAGTTCCTGCTCCCATCATTAGATTGCCAGTAATGTTCCTCACAATGTTAGTGTGATTTCTTCAACTGTCCATAGTAACAGAGGGGCAGTCGGGTAGCCTAGTGGTTAACATTGTCAAAGCATCTGTTCTTCACGCTGAGACTCCATTTCTGGTGTCCCCTACTGTGGTATTGTTGGAATATTGTTAGAAGCGGCATAAAACCATACTTACATAGTCACTCACTCTCTCACCCATAGTAGCAGACAAGTTTGCAACATTGCATTGGTATTTAGATTTGTGGCATAATGTCAGGGATGATCTTAAATGTTTTTGTGACAAGATAAGTGAAAAGAGAACACTGAAAAAACAGCAATATAGTATTGTGATGCCATTTTCACAGGGATTATGCAAGAACATGTATCAGCTAATACTGATAATACAGCAATACCTACTCCTTAAAATGTTTGAAATTCTGCTTGCCTTAGAAATCTTAAACAGTAACCAAACTGGTCTTGGCTGTTTTCAATTCAGTTACTGCTTTTAGATGTCTTGAACGCTTTTGATATGTTACTGTATGTGCAAGATATGAAAAGGCGTTATGCATGCATGAGTGAGTTCAATTTTATGCTGCTTTGTCAATATTCCAGCAATGCTACGATGGGTACATCAAATGGCCTTTAAGCATTGTACCCATGTGGGTAATCGAACTCTGGTCTTTAGGGTGACAAGCGAACGCTTCAACCACAAGGCTACCCCACTGACCTGCATTGAATCGATTGATGATGATGAATGACAGAATTGTGATGTAGAATAGCTTTCGATACTATGAAACTGGTGAGGGCAAGGAAATATCCACAATAGTAGACCTCATTGTCAAGTGTATTTGAGGGCTATAATTCAGGACCTGTTCTTCATGCTTCAGTTGGTTCCAATGGAACATGTTGAAACTGAATAAAAAACAAAGTAAATGTAAACACAGTAAGGATGTTTTTAGGTCATGTTTAAACAGGACCTTTGGAAAGGTTTACATTAGTCATCTCGGTTAGTCTTGAAAAATAAAAATGAATTGTGAATGTCATTGGTTCCTTTCCTAACCCTTATGAAGGGTAATGTGTTTATGGATGTCAGCTTCTTTCATTTTGTATGGAGTGTGTCCTTTAGAGGATTGTTTTGCTGGAATCTGAAGTTGATTCTTTCTTGTTTACATCTAATTTTCGTTAAGAACCTATAAAACAGACCGCACTGGCTGCTTTGAAGACGCTATTTTCAAACTGTAAACTAATTATCCATTTCCCTACACTAAAGTTTTTACTACTGGCCCCTATAGCCTCACACCAAAATGCCTCTCATATAATAAACATCTGGGTCGAGGTTAATCAAGGCATCTAGCCAATCAAAATATACCTCAGGAGTTGCTACTTAAAATAGACAAGGAATTCCATACACGTATCGCATATGGTGCAGATTGATAAAATTTGCTTGGCAGTTTCCTTAAATCTTAACAGTTGCTGGTAATTTTCATTGCCTATTTGGTGAAATAATTTAACCAGGTGAATTTATTGCCGGTCACCAGGACTTCTTTGTCATAAATATACCGGTCCTTTGACTTTTTTACCATATGCCGGTAAACAGAATCTCTGACTGCAGGTGGAATACTGGGACAGGTGTTTCAGTGGAACCAAGAAATTACTGTCATGAACGTTAATCCTATTGCTAGTGTGAGTATGAACATGGTTTCTTATTACTTGTTCTTATTGTAGGTTGACATGGCTCAAAATGGAGCGACAGATGAAATTGATGAAGGTCTCTACTCCAGACAGCTGTAAGTATGCTTCTCATTCAGATGCATGTAGGTCACGGGTTATCAAGTAGTAAACTTGAAATGCTGATTACAATTAATGGTGGATTACCAAATATGGATGGGCAGTGTCATTATATGAGTAGAAAGTATTTTAGCAAGTATGTTGTCTTGAATTGATACCAAAAAAGGTACTGTGTATGGTGTCGTTGCATGGAAGTTCACAATCCATTTGGTGTATCGTTTCACACGTACATTGCATACAGCTACATGTGCAGTGGTGTTTCAGTGAATGTGTCCTCTGAGAGTGGAAGGTTGTGTGCCTTGTTTTACACTAAATATTACAATTTTGTTACCTTGCATGGCACTTAGCTTCAAAGGTTCACAGGGTTTTTCCTCGACTCATAAACCATGGGGTTCCCGGGGCCCCGGGGCCCCTTGATTATTAGTTTTAAGGCAGTACGAGGGGAAATTGTAATAATGGCGTTGAGAACTGTATGGTTTGATAATTTCTTTAGAACCTGGAATGAATGATTGTTCATTTGGACTGATTGGTGAAATAGGGCTGAAACGGTATATCGCGGTATTAGTAGAACCGCGGTATTTTGCTTTCGGTTCCGTTTACCGTAATGCAATCCCAAAATTCGGTATATTCGGTTATCGTACCGTTCCTTCTGTCTAGGGGGCGGTGGAATAGCCTTGTGGTTTCTACACATGGGTACAATGTGTGAAGCCCATTTCTGGTGTCCCTCGCAGTGATATTGCTGGAATATTGCTAAAAGAGGCGTCAACCAAAGATTATGGCTATTATTTTTTCCATGTTACTAAACAGTGTCAGGTTTGGCTGTTGTTGTCAATTTTCTTCATTGTGATCATATTTCATATACTGAACAGAAACGGACCGAACCGAAGGCCTTGTACCGCAATACGTACCGTATCGTGTTAAGAGCGTACCGTTTCACCCCTAGGGTGAAATGATGCACGTAACTGCTCTGAAAGAAACAACCAAACACTTAGTAAAGTCATAGATGTGTGGGTTCAGTGAATAATATTGTGCGTCCCTTTGGATGCAGTGAATTTTTTGTGTGCCTCCATTCCTTACATTTTGAACATCGCGTAAAACCCTGGGTACAAAACCGACTCAGGTAAGACAGGGTTCCTCCAAATGTGGTAATGACTGTTTTAGATGTGACACTGATTGTGTTTCAGGTATGTTCTTGGTCACGAAGCCATGCGGCGGATGGCCAATTCCAATATCCTTATCTCCGGAATGAGAGGTCTGGGTATCGAGATTGCCAAGAATGTTGTGCTCGGCGGTGTGAAATCTGTCACAGTGCATGATAATGGCAATGCAGCATGGATGGACCTGTCTAGTCAGGTATGTTCAGTTACATTCAGACAACAGGTTTTTTTCGTTTTTTTTCTTCAAAAGAGAATATATTGGCCACGCTTTTACAATGACCCGTCAGGGCTCGATTTAAGGGATGTTAACCTACTTGCACCAGGTGCAACCTAAGATAAAACCTATTTGCACAAGCCAAATTCCAGTTGCAAAAACGCGTGCTAAAATGCCAGAGGTTTTGGTGCACATAAACATATTTCCGTGACGTAGTACCCATGAAATCATAGCAACACAGATACGCACAGTAACGCAGTTGATCCCTGTTTACAAGAGCTGTCATAGCCGAGAAGTGTCTATAAATGGCAAAGTTTCGGTGCCATAGCTATTCAAAGTTTAAAAGAAAAATGAACTGACATACTTAGATTTGTTATTGATTTATTTCTAAAAAAATGACTTGCACATGGTGCACATTTGACTAATAACTAGGTTGCACTTTGTGATATTGAGTTGCACCAGTGCAAGTAACAAAGCACTAAATCGAGCCCTGCCCGTACATATCCATGTAGCTAGGGATTCAGGGTTCTTTATGGAAAAAATATATACATACGCCGTGGCTTAAGATAGACAGCTGGTAAGCTTTGGTTTACTTACTTCCATTTGAGTTCTTGATAAAGGAAGTGATTTTGCAGTGAGGGAATGACAAGAGTTTTTATTCTGCTTTTACTGCAGAATATCCAAGCAGGGACGTCAGAAATGTGCTTCACACATGGTACCCATATAGAAAATTAATCCCAAATTTGAAAAATATAGAAACCATAAGACATTTGACAGTCACTGTAAAAGTCTGCATCCCTGGAACCCATAAAGATCCGGGTTAGAATTGATCGTAAGAGGCGACTAACAGGATCTAGTGGTCAGACTCACAGACTTAGTTGACACGTCATTGTATCCCAGTTGTGTAGATCGATGCATGCTGTTAATCACTGGATTTTCTGGTCCAGATTTAATTATTTACAGATTTGAGCCATATAGCTGGAATATTTGCTGAGAATGGTGTTAAACAAGCATCCTAGAAAATATTGAAATGTAAAGAGTGAAAGTACATGTGGTTTTGTCATTTGTTTTTAGATGAAAGTTGTTTAAGTTCCTCAATTAGGGATATCATTTTGGTTTTTTCAGTTAATCAGATCAATAGATATTTGTCAGAATTGTTTCCAGAAAGTTATTACGACTTAAAAAACTAATCTCCAAATTTGGAAATGCTTTGTTCAATCATTGGTTTTGCATTTGAAAAAGGTTCTAACATGCAGAGGGGGTGACCTCAGATGTTGCTCACACTGTCAACCACAACCAGACACAGTTAGTTATTGCCTGTATGATATAGCTAGAAAATGGCTGAACATGGCAATGAAAACAATAATATGTGAATGACACAGATGCCTGCATCTATTGAACAAGCTGCTGGAAGAAGCATTCAAACTCACTCACTCACTCACTCACTCACTCACTCACTCACTCTCTCACTCTCACTCACTCACTCACTCACTCACTCACTCACTCACTCACTCACTCACTCACTCACTCACTCACTCACTCACTCACTCACTCACTCACTCACTCACTCACTCACTCACTCACTCTCACTCTGTTTCAGGACCTGGAATGTATAAACCTAATTACACCATACCTTCTATTCCAGTTTTTTCTGCGCGAGGAAGACATTGGGAAGAACCGTGCTGAGGTGATACAGCCTCGTCTGGCCGAGCTGAACAGCTATGTTCCTGTCTCAGCCTACACAGGGGAACTTTCAGAGGATTACCTCAAACAGTTTCAGGTGAGGAAACAAAGAAACCTTCAGGACATTTTGTATCAGATGCTGTAACATTACCAGGCCCATGAAGATCCGGGTTAGAATTGGTCTTCAGCAACCCATGCTTGTCGTAACAGGCGGCTAGCGGGATCAGGTGGTCAGGCTTGCTGACTTGGTTGACACGTCATCCAATCCCAATTGCGTAGATCGATGTTCATGCTGCTAATCACTGGATTGTCCAGACTTCAGCACAGTGAAACCTTCCAACACCAGCACCTGCCTAATCCGGCACACTGTCAAAACCGGCATAAAATTTTGGTCCCGCCATTTTACAACGATATTATGATCATTAAAACATTGTCTAATCTGGCACCTCAGTATTCCGGCACGACTTTCCGGCCCCAACAAGCAATTTTACCTGTAATTAACACTCTCTAAACCGGCATGGGTATGAGCAGTCCAATCAAGGACCCATAAACCAATACACTAATTAATCCTCTTGGCATGCTAGATAATCAGGAAGTAGTGATTGCGCGGTGAATCAAACGCTCTAAGCCGGCATGGGTATGAGCAGTCCAATCACGGTCCCTTAATCCAATACATTCTTTTCGGCATGCTCGACATTATAGAAACAGAGATTGACGAGTGTAAATGGCAGCCATGTTGGAAAATGACCGTCACTGTCTAATCCGGCACCCTGTCTAAACCGGCATTATATTTTGGTCCCTTGGGGTGCCGGTTTAGACAGGCTTCACTGTACTTACAGACCGCCGCCTTATAGGTAGAACATTGCTGAGTGCAGCCTTAAACAACATTTAACACCAAACAGCTGAAATTGTATCAGTCCAATACCATGTTTGAAATTGAGCTTGAAATATAGTGGGTCCATTGCGAAACAGTAATGCAGAAAGTTACAGTTTAAGTCCCCAATTAACTTATGAGTATTCTGTGAGCAGCAAACTTTATCGCTTATTGAACTGAGATGGACTCTGAAAAAAGTGTTGTGCATGTTGCTAAGGATAGCATATGCATACCTATATAAACTATGGAAAATTCTTTTTTTCATGATGTATATACTTTTCTTTGTAGGTTGTTTGTTTGACAAACTCTTCACTAGATGACCAAATCCGTATTGGAGAGTTCTGTCACTCCAAGGAAATCAAGTTCATAGTGGCAGATACCAGAGGATTGTTTGGGTAAGTTATTAGCAGTAACACATTATACTGATATAGAATCAAATATCAAAAGATATTCAAGTGAAAAGTCGTAATTGAGCCACTTACAAGGGATTAATCTTGATCTGTTCAGGAAGTCTGGAGCAAGACGTCAGTAAAATTTACAAAATTGGAATGGCATATGTCCCAATTTATGTTAATATACAGTGAGACCCGGTGTAGCAGGCCATTTCTTCCCCAGTCTAAACTTTCCCCGGGGAGGTTTTGTCCTAGGATATTCTTACTTTCCCCGGGGAGGTTTTCCTAGGATATTCCTACCCCGGGGAAAGTTTGGGCTAGGCTAAAGTCTTGTGTCTTTAAATGTGAGTCTTGAAAATATTTGTGTGTTTGAACAACTACAGAGCAAGATATCAAGAGAGGTTGTCTGGTTATGTTTTTGGTTACATTTAACTTCATCTTAAATAACGACCTTCACTTTCATTACTTTTCAAGTTTGATTTGATAATTTGCGGCGGGTGATTATGTCACCTTAGTGACAATGCTTGTTTTTAAATCAAAAGGGGGAGATTCTGGCATAGCTAGGCTACTTCTTCCCCACCCTTGCTCTTATAAACCGACAGTAGTTTCGACTTATATTTTGGTGCACATTTTTGCCAAATAGTCCATTTTTTGCTTCTGACTTGGGTGTAGTGATTTGAATGCATACAGGTTTGAACGGCAGATATCTCTAAATCCATCCTGCTCCTGTTGCCATTCCCATGAAGACATATTGCATTAGTTCTTCATCTGTCCAAATCATTTCACCATAAGATGTAAACATTCAATCTCACATTTGATGGGTAAATAAGATGTAATATACACAGGTTGCTTGCTCTCTTATCATGCTGTTTATTATATAATATTTGTTGTATTCATATAAATGTAATGGAACATTATTCACATAAGCTTGAGTACAAATCCATAATCACTTTTGGTGAAAGAAATATGATTCAGATATCCATGGGCCAAGTATACCCCTTATCAAACCTTGTCTTTTGAATATGGAATAAGGCAATATAGTGGAATGATAGATGATACAGCATTTGATACAGATATTGTGTTGGGTTGTTGTGTTGAGGTTTACATCTGCTTCCAACTGTTAAGTTGATGTCGCTGACATGGATGCCATATTTAAAGCCATGAGTGAGGGAATAAATTTTGAATGGATGTGGACATCTAAGTAAAACTGGGTATTTAGTTAAAGTTTAGAATATAGTAATGATTTTGAGATAAGCCAATTTGGAGTAAGTGGGGATAAGTAAATTATTGAAATACAAAAATAAGTAAATGATAATATAAAACAATAGTAATGATATAATATCTTTGCTTTTATACTTGCTTTTCTTTTTAATCTCACCTTATAAAAGGATATTGAAACAAAATGTGAACCATGTACATGTTATATATGAAGATGAAGATGACCTGTTAATTGTTAATGATAACTTAATGGAACTTGACATCAACATGAATATCTTATCAATGTGTTCACATGAATAGCTATGTCTTGTTTCCGTTTCTGACTTTTTCAAGACGAACATAAACATGAAAACAAGAAATAGTCTTGCTTGGCCGGAATCTCCCCTTTTGATATAAGAACAAGGGTTTGAAACAAGTAGCCTTATAAGTTGATTCAAGGATGGGGCCTAGGCCAAAGTCCCCGGGGAAGGTTTGGCCAGGGGGCAAGTTTGGCCTGTTACATAGACCCCAAATATCTGGAAACCTTGCCTTCCGGTCAATTTCCATGTAAAACCAATCTCTTACGTTATAAAAGTGACTGTCTATAGCGGATGTGCAGTTTCCGTTCCCGGATGGTAAATTGTACAAATCAACACAAAATTGACTCACTTATCCGCTTGAAGCTTTGATCTTCCGCTGACCTTTGAAGTGAAGCGCAAGTGTCCCACGTGTTTTGACACGAGACAAGGTCTGCTAATCTGGATTAATGATTGATCAGCAGGGTATTGGTGGTGATTAGTAAGCCTGTCTTACATAGAGTGAATTGTAATTGGCAAATCAAGATGACCATGCTGTTTTGGAAGTGATTTTAAACCAGAACTGTATGCTCGCTACCGTTCAAACACTTAAGCCTGGATGACAAATCCAGATATCCGGATATTCAGTTATCCGGACGATTTTCGTAAAAACAAATGTGTCTGGATATCCAGGGTCTCACTGTAGATGTAACTAAACTTATTGCTTTGTGGAGGTAATTGAATGTCACTCATAACACTGGATATTTGTTTTACCTTTATTACAACATTAAAATACCTCAAAACCTATTTACAAGTCCCCAGTGAGAGAGATTTGGAAAACCCCAGGCTAAAAATAGCGGCATTGACACATTGCGATGGCCTCCACATTTCTGATTGGTTGTTAGGGTACAAGGTCTCGCGCACAATGAAAAGCATGATCACTTGACCGGTAAAATTTACAAATGACCGGTATTTGAAATGTTAGCCGGTCAGAATGTCCAGCTGTAAAAACTGACAGCGGAAACACTGCAGTCCCTATTTTGAACAAAACAGTGTGTTTTGCCAAGAGCACTTGGTTTAAATCCCCGGTACATCATATCTATATCCCTGCTTTTGGAACCTTGGCAAAGAAGAGCTGATAAAAATGAGCTAGTTCGAGTACTTGATCGCGTATCAGTGGTTCTTCAGGGTGGGGCATGATTGTTTACAGGCAGAAGTGATATAGCTGACTATACAGAGAATGCCATCAACATACACATGTAACTAGTTGAACACTGGAAGTAGAATTGGTCCTCAGTAGGGGTGGGTATTGCAAGGAATTTTCATATTGTGATATATAGCGATAGGAAAGCATGTATTGCGATATGTATTGCACTATATTGCAAGCAGTTATTTTTTAACAAAAAAACTACTTATAGTCGTGTTAATGCTTGATTTATAAAGCAAAAACACAACAAAATCACAATGCTTGATTAGGCTTTAATAAAAACTTTTAATCATGACAAAATAAAATTGTAAATAATGTTTGGCACAAATGAAACAAGGAAAGGAACAATTTAAAAACGGAAATATCTGAACATTTCCGAGTGTTAAGAATTTTTCGAATGCGTGTCAAAATACTGGTTTTCGATCAGCGTATCGCAATACGTATCGTTTTCATGTCTGAACCAGTAAATACCGGTTAACCGGTTATATTGCGCAGCCCTAGTCCTCAGCAAGAAGGAGGTGCCCAACAGGATTAGATGATCAGGCTCACTGATTTGGTGGATGCATGGCATATTATGATCAGGGGGCAGTGGGGTAGCCTACTGGTTAAAGCGTTTGACCGTACGTTGATTCCCTACATTGGTATAATGTGTGAAGCCCATTTCTGCAGGGAAAGAAACCTTTCAAACTTTCCCACTAGACCACAGGACCAGTGAGTGGACAATAATGAGTGGTCCTGTCTGTACTTCACAGGTCCAAAATGACATTCGTAGATTTACTTAAACAATAATTATTCACTGGCCACCAGGACCACTGCAAACTTATCATTTAGTTGTCCTGATGAATCTTTACTAGCCAGGGACCACAGGACCGTTGTTTGTGGCATCGCTGTTGCATATTGCTGGAATATTGCTAAAAGCGGCGTAAAGCCATACTCACCCATATGGTCAGTGCTCATGATGTCAGTCCCTGATCACTATTTACAGACTGCCGTCATGCGACTTGAATATTACTAAGTGAGGAGAGATAAAAAAACAATCAATACTTTAGTGTTGAAATTCTGTTGGCATGGTCGTGCTCCAAAGGGTTTGTTATTGGTGTTTTTCATTTTTTAGTGCTTGACTGTAAAACTGTTACATATTGATACCATTCCATTTTAGTCAGATCTTCTGCGACTTTGGTGAAGGTTTTGTCGTGTCTGATGTAGATGGAGAGCAGCCAAACAGCACCATGGTGGCATCTGTCACAAAGGTAGGCACGCTTTGTTGTTAAGCCTCAAATTTAATGTAGAAATGTATCCTCTTGTAGACATTTAATAGCAGGGATTTTTCTCTCGCGAGCCATAAAAGCAGGGATTTATCTTAGATTTGTCAGAGGCCGATATTCAGGATGTGGCCTGCAGTAATATATTGTTAGTACAAATTCCCAAATTGGAATTAACAATTTTCCCCGGTTGGCAGTCGTATCAAGCTTGTTTATAATCTGTGTAATGCAACGTCTGCACTTAGCCTGTCTGCATTACAGTTACTTCCCTTCACTTACAATGTACATGATAACATATATGTTGTCTGAATATGATGAACTGGAACATTCTTGACATGAATGTAAAATTTGGGAGAAAAATAGTAGAATGTGTGAAGCCCATTTCAGGTGTCCCCAGCTGTGATATTGCTGGAAAATTGCTAAAAGCGTCGTAAAAACCATACTCACTCTCTCACTCTGAGTCTTGAATGTACATGACATTGCAGTCATACAGACAAGAATGACAACTCTGAAGACTAAAATCAAAATGGTAAAAATTCAGAATAGCTGATTTTGGAACGTGGTGCAGTGAGCAGGTTTTTGATATGCTTGGCTCTATTTTGCTTGGACTGTAGCAGAGGCCCAGATAAGCTGCATATCCGGGTAAAATATGCATAGAAAATTTCCAATTACGCATTGAAATTATGAAAAAATAATTGTTGCGTACCAGTTACGCATTTAAAATTTTAGATACGCAAATAGTTTAAAACAAATGCATACTGAATATATTTATAAAAATAGCTTGCGTAACGAAAAATACATTGATTGCTATCAAGTTGTACTGTTAGTATAGGACAAGTGTTGTACTGTCAGTATAGGATGAGTGTTTTTTTTATGAAATAATTTCCATTATATTTAAGTTGGTTTTGATTGGGTATGACATAAGGCAGAGAATACCTGCTTAGTAAACTTACACAATGATGTAATACTTAGGTGAGTAAAATGACTGAAATACTCACATATTCGAAAGTAGTGGGTAACGGAAAATGAAATACCCACTCAACATTCATAATACCCACTCCAAAAAATTACAGTGGGTACAGTACCCACATGAGCTAAATTTTATCTGGAGCTTTGACTGTAGGGTAGCCGGGTGGTTAAGTGTTTGATCGTCAAGCTGTAGCCCCAGGTTCGATTTTCCAGATGGGTACTACGTGTGAAGCCCATGTCAGATGTCCCCTGTTGTGGTGTTGCTGGAATATTGCTATAACCATACATACTTACTTATTTCTGATGATTGTCCTCCTGCTTGTCTGCATTGACATCTCCTTGTATGCATTGTTACAGGAGGTAGACGGTATTGTGGCCAGCGTTGACGAGACTCGGCATGGCTTTGAGGACGGAGACTACGTCACATTCCATGAAGTCCAGGGCATGACAGAACTCAATGAATGTGAACCAAGAAAAATCAAAGTGTTGGGTAAGGCGACTGTTATCATACTTTGGGTTGAAAGACCACCAAAACTGTTGAATGTGGGTTGAAAGACCACCAAAACTGTTGAATGTGGGTTGAGTGAGTGAGACCACCAAAACCGCGCAATATCCCAGCTATATGGCGTCGGTCTGTAAATAATCGAGTCTGGACCAGACAATCCAGTGATCAACAGCATGAGCATCGATCTGTGCAATTGGGAATCGATGACATGTGTCAAACAAGTCAGCGAAACTGACCACCCGATCCCGTTAGTCGGCTCTTACGACAAGCATAGTCGCTTTTATGGCAAACATATGGGTTGCTGAAGACCTATTCTATCCCGGATCTTCACGGGTCGAATGTGGGTTGAAAGACCACTAGAACTGTTGAGTATATGGGTTTCAGTTCCATCGCCTCGGAGTCAGTATAATGTGTCTGGGTGGGGTATTCATGCTTCACTGCGGCATGGTATCTCAGTGGGCTAGCACTATAAAACCAGCTTAAGTCTGGGCTAGTACAAGCAGCCGCACATACACACGCATGCACGTCATCATATGAGCGAAATATTCTCAAGCACGACGTTAAACCCAATTCCACCACAACCACCACTTGCTGTACATTGTTAAAAACGTGTGAGATGTATTTTTAAATTCATGTTGATTGTATCTTCTTTCAGGTCCCTACACATTCAGTATTGGTGACACAAGTGGTCTGTCGGATTATGTACGTGGAGGAGTGGTCACAAAGGTTAAGATGCCGAAGACACTGAACTTTGTAAGTATTGTTTAAGAGTTTGGTGGCAGCCATTGTAGTGTTTCTAAGGACAGACGCATTGAACTTTTATATGTTGATTAGGTCAGTTTGGAAAATGTTAACTTCTGATTTTTTTTTTACCCAGTATTTGTAATCGTTACCCAGTACTTGCAATCGTCACCCAGTATCTGTAATCGTTACCCAGTATTTGTAATCATTACCCAGTACTTGTAATCGTTACTCAGTACGTGTAATTGTTACCCAGTATTTGTAATTGTTACTCAGTACTTGTAATCGTTACCCAGTATTTGTAATTGTTACCCAGTACTTGTAATCGTTACCCAGTATTTGTAATCTTTATCGAATATTTGTAATCATTATCCAGTATTTGTAATTGTTACCCAGTATTTGTAATCGTTATACAGTTCTTGCAATCGTTACCCAGTGTTTGTAATCTTTATCGAATATTTGTAAATGTTATTCAGTATTTGTAATCATTACCCACTGCTTGTAATCGTTACCAAGTATTTGTAATAGTTACCAAGTACATGTAACCCAGTATTTGTAATCGTTACCTAGTATTTGAAATCGTTACCCAGTATTTGTAATCGTTACCCAGTATTTGTAATCGTTACCCAGTATTTGTAATCGTTACCCAGTATTTCCCAGTATTTGTAATCGTTACCCAGTAATTGTCGTTACCCAGTTCTTGTAATCGGTACCCAGTATTTGTAATCTGTACCCAGTATTTGTAATCTGTACCCAGTGCTTGTAATCGTTATCCAGTATTTGTAATTGTTACCCAGTATTTGTAGCCGTTAGCAGGTACTTGTAATCGTTACTCAGTTCTTGTAATCGTTATCCAGTACTTGTAATCGTTACTCAGTACTTGTAATTGTTATTCAGTACTTGTAATCGTTACCCAAAGTTTGTCATATGTATCATATGGATTTGTTGCAGCCCTAATATTAACCATGGTTTGGCTCCTGAACACAAGACATAACTATGGCTAATGTCTCTGCCGTCAAGTGCAGCATAATACTAGTTGATTGTTAGTCGTAACAGCATGTAAAAGTATTTATTCTGGGTTTTTTTCTACTTCAGAAATCCATCAAAGCATCCCTGGAGGCTCCAGAGTGTTTGATCACAGATTTTGCAAAGTTTGATCGACCAGGACAGCTTCACATAGCTTTTCAAGCATTGCACGAGTTTTTTAAACAGAAGGGGGCTCTACCAGCACCGAGGAACAAGGTACAGAACAGACAAATGAAACCTGTGATATATTCTCAAACATAGCAAGAGTTGTGTCTTGTATCATGTCAAGTGCGGTATGGAATAACAAATACAGTATGGGATATATTGTTATGTGTTATATGGCAACTCAGCATGGTCGATGACAAAAGCAGCATATAATGTATTGTAAGGCATAGTGACAAATACATTATTGGATATATTGTTATATGTTATATGGCAACTCAGCATGGTTGATGACAAAAGCAGCATATAATGTATTGTAAGGCATAGTGACAAATACAGTATGGGATATATTGTTATATGTTATATGGCAACTCAGCATGAGTCGATGACAAAAGCAGCATATAATGTATTGTAAGGCATAGTGACAAATACAGTATGGGATATATTGTTATATGTTATATGGCAACTCAGCATGGTCGATGACAAAGCAGCATATAATGTATTGTAAGGCATAGTGACAAATACAGTATTGGATATATTGTTATATGTTATATGGCAACTCAGCATGGTCGATGACAAAAGCAGCATATAATGTATTGTAAGGCATAGTGACAAATACAGTATGGGATATATTGTTATATGTTATATGGCAAAACTCAGCATGAATATCGATGACAAAAGCAGCATATAATGTATTGTAAGGCATAGTGACAAATACAGTATGGGATATATTGTTATATGTTATATGGCAACTCAGCATGAGTCGATGACAAAAGCAGCATATAATGTATTGTAAGGCATAGTGACAAATACAGTATGGGATATATTGTTATATGTTATATGGCAACTCAGCATGGTCGATGACAAAAGCAGCATATAATGTATTGTAAGGCATAGTGACAAATACAGTATGGGATATATTGTTATATGTTATATAGCAACTCAGCATGGTTGATGACAAAAGCAGCATATAATGTATTGTAAGGCATAGTGACAAATACAGTATGGGATATATTGTTATATGTTATATGGCAACTCAGCATGGTTGATGACAAAAGCAGCATATAATGTATTGTAAGGCATAGTGACAAAAGCAGTATGGGATACAGGGCTACAGATAAAGGGCAGTACAGGCGTAATGTATGCCTCAAAATCAATTAAGTCACGACATAATATAAGATTTCAAAGCGTATCGTAATGCATACATTAATACCTTTGTAATGCGTCTAACATTTAATTTCCGTCGCGTATCGTGCAAATGGAAATCTATTTGGGATAAATACTTGTCAAGTTTCTTTTTTCTGCGAAACCACGATTTTGACACATGAGGAAACCCGACAGCAGGAATCACTTGCGTTGCCATGCAGCGATATGCGTCACTATTTTTTCGATTGGCTAAAACTACACTGTTCCTATTTATATCCAGTCGGACCTGACATTTCGCACATCACCACGGTCGCTCAGTTATTTCTCAAAGCGTCTTCAAATACAAATACATGGTTGGAAATAGTGATCGATGAATCGTCCCAGACAAACCACATCACCAACTTCGCTCACACAAAACATGTCAGTACTCCTTCAAAATTCTCAGTACACCTCCACTTGCAATATGATGTGTAAGTACACTTTCGCACCCCCAAAAAGTTATCTGGAGCCCTGGGATATATTGTTTAGACAAAAGCAACGAGAGATATATTGTTATTACACAGCAGCATTGAATATAGTGCAATGGCAAAGGAGCATTGAATATAGGGTTAAGACAACAGCAGTTTGGCAGGTATTGGGAAAGAGAACTTAGACAATGGGCCATTTTCACAATTATTAGCCATTTTCTGAATTTTGAATGGGCCACTGTCGTCGTATCAATAGTAAACTTCAAATTTTTAACTAATCCTGCACTAATTACTTCCTGCACTTATTGCTTACTTACGAAAACGTGGCTGTGCCAGACGATTGACAATTGCGTGACTGCGATCACTTCCTGGGCTCGGTAAACATCCGTCTGCGCGCGCATCACCAGAAGGTGACGTCAGCCACCTCAGATTATTGCTTTTATGCACACCTCGCAAGAGGCGTGTGGTTTGCCAGCTCGACTGTTTTGTATCCTATGAATTTTTCATTGTGTACTGTTGTAGTGATGGTGTTTGTGATAAACACGGTAGTTTCATCACTATTATCGGGTCACTTCGGTTGTGCCACTGTCTCCGCTGACCTCTACGTCGGGAGACGGACACATCTTGCCCTCGAAGACTTCAACTAACATGGTACCTATACCGGCGCATGCGTTTACGCACTCTTGTCTTGTCATCAATAGGGCAGCCCAGGTGGATGAGGAAATTAAGCGTGTGAAGGTGTTTCTTCTTACAAGGCACGAGACTCAAGGGATGATGGCCCTTGATTTGGAATCCACACTGATACTCCTTCCTATCTCAACTTAGCTTCGGCTATTAACACTGTCTCTCAAGACCTGACAGAGATGAATCCGTACAGGATTGTCACCTCTCTTCTATATGCATGATGGCTTGGTAGTGAATGGTCCTCACTGTCCTTGGCGCCCATGCACTTACTAGATCTGATAACCTCAGGTTTTCGGCCGTGAGATCAATAAGCAGTTTGGAGCTCAAGGCAGTGTTCCTCACCATCCGTCACTAGGCGCAATAGCTAACGGGCAACACAATTGTTGTGGGGTTTAACAAGAGTTTGACCAGGTTACTATTCCCAGACGTTCCGTCTCTTTCTAGTAATAGCTGACACCCATATCCATCTGAGCACTCAGCATATTCCTGGGTGCGGGTACATCTTAGCGGACGCTATATTGGGATCTGACAGAGTCGCTTTCACAGAATGAATGCTACACAAAGAGATACCGGTTTATGTGTCTCCGTCTCCGAATGGTCAGCCTGGGCAGTGGATGGCTGAAGTCTTTCCTGGGGGCGCTACACGCAAAATACGTTTCCTCCGCAATATATGTTTCCAAATGTTTTAGTCACAATCAAGAATTAACAACTTGACTTGACTAAACAATTTTTATTTTTAATTTTTTTTTTTTAATGTTTTTATTTTAGACTAAATTTAGTTGGTCCCAGATGACCAACCAGAGGTTGGTTTCAAGCATCAAGAGCTCCTCTTCAACTAGCCAGATTTGGAAACATCCTAGTGCATCCTCATCCCATGCCAGAGCGGTTCAATTATCACACTGCATCTTCAGGCGGCATTCTGCGCCAATTGCTTTTCAGCCAGAGCATTGTTACTGCTTTGCTAATGAACATTGGACTTCCATTAGGCACATGTATAACAAGGGGCAGTCGTTCGAGCAGTTGTGTTGCCATGAAGCAGGATCCGCTGAATGTATGCCCCCTGTTTTAGCTGCCTCCCTGCTGTATTTTTACAGGGGAAGGGGTTTCAAGATGACTTCTGTTAGTGGCAATTCCTTCATTTTGGCAGTCCCCATTGACAGGAGCTACTGTCCGTGCTTCGCTTGTTTAGTGCTTGAGTACCCAGGCTGCAGTTTTGACCATCCGCCAGGAATCTCAACACGGTCTTGGACCGCCAACGCGTTGTCTTGCAAGCCACTCATGAACACTTCCCTTGCAGACTTGCACGATGCGAAGGGGTCATCGCTTGGTGTTAATTAGGTCAGGTTTGAGCGACACGGTCATGGTTCTGTGCCTCTGGGTATTTGATTGGGATTTCATCACTATAACCAAGTTGCCAGCGAAATGATCGATAGTTCTCTCTTTTAAGCCTTTATCCTCTGTTGTCGGCGTTGACAAGCGTTCCTGCGTTACTTTTGTGTTCAGCTGATGTACTCAGTTTGTACATTAAAAGCACCCAAGCCGTCGGAGACATGTAAGCAAAACCACGAGTGTTTTGTGGATACGGACAACCATTATTCATGCGTATAATGTGGCTGGTCTGGTTTCCCCTCATCTACGCCATCCTCATGTACTTCGTATACTTGCCTGGACTATGGCACTTCACAGTAACTGTACAGTGGCATTGATAATGCATGAGTGTTTCTAGACGTCGGACACAGTCTTCGCCAATCAGTATCCACACCACATGTGTCCAACACTTCAGACTATTGGTGCCAGACCAGCCCCGCACCAATCCCCGACGGATATCACCTCATTGTTGTTCGCCACGAAGCACGACGATGTTGTGTGGGGAATGAGTTGTTTTGAGAAAAACAGCTGGGTATGTCAGTTAAGGAGTCACACTTGAATAGATTCTCAAGTCCATGCTTTTTACTGCGTTCCCTAAAGCTAATAACGCTTTAAAGCCGTGTGGTCTTTTTCCATTTAAGCCTGCCTGTCTTATATTAATTACCACTGAGATATAATCACTGTTTGTTGACCATTCTTCCAGGTGCAACGAAGGTACCTTCCACCATGCTTTTTCTTCCCATGAAGCATGTCAGCGCCGTGTGGGAAGAGTTGTTGTTCTGGAACAACTGGGTCTGTCAGTTAAGGAGTAACACTTGGGTTAACTTTCGAGTCACTGCTTTTACTGCATTTCCCTAAAGCTTATAACACTTTAAAAATCGCGTGGTATATACCATTTAAGACTGCCTGTCTTATATATGCTTATTACCACTGCCTGATCGTCACTCAATGTCTGCTTTAGGTGCCACGCCCGGTTTTCCACCACCGCGAGCCATTCCAGGGCAACGACATTGACCGAGCCTGTCTTTGTTTTTTACCTTGCGAGGCGATCCCGCCAGATGACACGCCCTCCATCCTGGATACAACTGCAGGAAGTAAGTAGTGCAGGATTAGTTAATAATTTAGTAAAATCCTAAATATTTTTATATTTTGTATGCTTATCCTGCACTACTTATGATAACTTTAAACCACCCTGCGCTTTCAGCTACCTCCCCTCTTTGTTTTCATATAGGATTTTACGGCAATAATCAGAGGTGGCTGGCGTCACCTTCGGTGATGCGCACCGGACGGACTTTACCCGAGACCAGGAAGTGATCGCCAGTCTTTGCTTTTCAACATCAATGCGTCTGGCACAGCCACGCTTCGAGTCGTAAGAAATAAGTGCAGGAAGTAAGTAGTGCAGGATAAGTATACAAATATAAAAAATATTTAGATTTTACTAAAATATTAATGGGCCATTTTTTATTCTAATGTGCAAAATGGCCCATGGCCCCTGCCTTTCCTAATCCCTGGTATGGGATGCCAGTTACGTTCCCCAGATTTGTCCTCCGTACAACAGTAATGCTATCCCCTTGTAGGCTGATGCCGATGCGTTCCTGGAGGTGTTCAAAGACGTCAACTCTAAGTCAGCTGCAAAGGTTGATGAGTTTGATGAGAAAGTGGTGAAGGAGTTCGCTGAGGAATGTCAGGGAGATCTCTGCCCAATAGCTGTAATGATTGGTGGCGTCACAGCTCAAGAAATCATGAAGGTAGGATTTCAAACATTATCTTTTCATCTTTTTTAAACAATAATAATGACATCAGGCTATTGGTGTTGCAGTTGATTCTGAGTGAGAATCGCTGGCCTTTCATCATATTCATTTTGGACAAGACAAACTAATGCAACTATAGGCCATAATCCAGAATTATAAAGGAATTATATCACAGTCATATGTCATCCATAGTGATGGTGTGTGGTTCTGTGCAAGGTCACAAAGCAGTAGAAGTTAAGAAACATTGGTCGCAGAGAGCCCTTAGATAGGTGACTGTTTCTTGCAGCTTGACTCTTGAAGGTCATCAGTCATTCGCATGATGTAATTGGAAAACCGAATTATATTTTGTACTTGTTATGATGATGCTTTGCTGCTGAACATTTGTTCCTGGGAATTGCTGTAATATATTGTTCCTGTGTTTCCAGGCCTGCAGTGGCAAGTTCAGCCCTATATTCCAGTACATGTACTTTGATGCCATCGAGTGTCTGCCCAAAGACACAGAGATCCTGACAGAGGAAGAATGCAAACCTGTGAGTGAAGGATGATCTGTGAGATTTCAGGGCAACCAACATCCACTGAAACAATGGCAGTGTGGGCCAAAAAACATTATACTGACCTCTATCTTCTGTCTCAGTAGCAGTTCTATGTAGCAGTTTTCTCTGAGTTTGAACGCCACCACCAGTTATCTTTGTCATGTCTACTACACAAACGTTTACTTGTCTCAATAACAGTGATACCCGTCAAGATCCGGGGTAGAATAGGTCTTCAGCAACCCATGCTTGCTACAAAGGCGACTATGCTCGGGATTGGGTGGTCGGGCTCGCTGAATTGGTTGACACATGTCATCGGTTCCCAGTTACGCAGATCGGTGCTCATGCTGTTGATCACTGGATTGTCTGGTCCAGACTCGATTATTTACAGACCGCCCGCCACATAGCTGGAATATTGCTGAGTGTGGCGTAAAACTAAACTCACTCACTCACTCCATAACAGTGTCTGTTATGGAGACAAGTAATTCATGCTTTTCTATTAGTTCTTCTTTAGCAACATTTTATCTCGGTTTGAAGGTCAGAGATTGAAGCCTGCTTTACAATATTGTGTTTCAGAGGGACACACGCTATGACGGACAAAGGATTGTGTTCGGAGAAACATTTCAGAACAAGATTGGTGATCTCAAGTACTTCTTGGTAAGTATTCTTACAAACTTGTTCATTAAGTTAGACCAGTTTCCTCTCTGGTTTGGATTTGGCTTATCTGGTATAGTTTGTTTTACTTCCTGCATCTTGGCGTTAACCCTGTCAATAGAAATAGGCTCAGACAAAGCTTGAAGGAAAAGTAAATTAATTAATAGTTTTTGAAAGAAATGATCATTTTGATGTTAAGTAGCAGTGCTGATGATGTTCTGAGTTGGAGATGTGATTGATCACAAATATGGTCTTCATATGGCCATGAAGATCCGGGTTTGAATTGGCCTTCAGCAACCCATGCTTGTCGTAAGAGGCGACTTAGGTCGGATGGTCAAGCTCACTGACTTGGTTGACATGGTAGCTGGAATATTGCTCAGTGCGGCGTTAAAATCCACAAACAAACAAACCTTGTCAGTCAGAAAAATGTGACACTGAAGTGTTTTAGAGTTTATCGTGTTGAAACTTCACATGTACAATCCACTAATATATGTGAAGTTTGTAATAGTGTTCAGTATGCTGTAGTATGGTTGTTTCTAGGTTGGAGCAGGAGCTATTGGCTGTGAAATGCTCAAGAACTTCGCAATGGTCGGTTTGGGATGTCGCAAAGGGAAGGTGATCGTCACAGATATGGACACCATTGAGAAGTCCAACCTCAACAGACAGTTCCTCTTCAGACCCTGGGATGTACAGGTATGTATAGGGGTTACACTGCCGTTTGGACTGTGAGGAGGAAGTACAAATTGTCTGGAATCACTGAAATAATCTGTCCTTTCTCAGCTTATCTGCAAGTCGAAGTCTTGATTAGTGTTATACTGAACCCTGAGTAAGAACAAGCTTTGGTGACTAATGGCTTAGGGATTAATGTCAGGGTACTCTTCCTGTATGCTGTAGTGAAAAGGGAAGTAGGGTAGCCTTGTGGTTAAAATCACTCGTCACGCTGGAGACCTAGGTTCAGTTCCCCACTAAGGTACAATGTGTCCGTGGAACCAACTATTTTCTTCAATAGTCATCACATGTTAATCATACTCGTCAGAATCCACAACCAACAAAACGTTTCTGCTTATTGCACCTAATTCCTTTTTGATGGCTATTTAGTTGAATATTGTTAGTTGTCTGTGGCAGCTGCTGACGTCTAATAAAGATACAAATCCAACTCAGTTACCTGCTCACTATACAGACTAACCAATCAACGATGCAATCGAGGTATACAAGATTGGTAAAAGGTGGAATCAATTGTTGTGGCCTCACATGTAATAGAGTAGTTCCATGACAAAGACGATGTGATAAGAATATAGTGTGTATTTTAAAGTCACAATGTCTGTACGCAGTGTTGAACCAGTGATAAAGCCGTGTGTTCCGATCCCAGTCCACTATGTTGGCATGATCGCCAGTTACAAAATGTTTCAGAAAACAAAATCCTCCACAGCAGCCAACGCTGTGAAGCAGATGAATCCAAGTTTCAACATCGAGGCCCGAGAGGACCGTGTTGGAGCCGAGACTGAGAATGTGTACACAGATGAGTTCTTCGAGCAGCTGGATGGTGTCACAAATGCCTTGGATAACGTGGACGCAAGTGAGTAGCATCTTGTCATTAAGCTCGTCACTGGCAGCCATGTTTTACCGGAATATTGCCGAGTCTCTATCATCTCCTTGCATGCATGGTATTCCTGGCAGATATCAAGGGTTGACCTTTGGTGCGTGCGTCAGTTATGTAGCTAGAATATTTAAAAAATTAAAATAACTTTTGAAAGAAAGTGAGTTTGAAGGGAGATAACTCTGGTCAGTAACCTTTTGGAGAGCACCAATAGTGTGGAGGAACATTTAGGTTTCTGAGAAGGAATTTGTGCTACATTGCTTAAGTATGCTAAGATGGTAATATTGTAATTTATTGCCTGTTCAACTTTCAGGAATGTACATGGATCGACGGTGTGTGTATTACAACAAGCCCCTGTTGGAGTCAGGGACACTGGGAACAAAGGCCAATGTTCAGGTATGTAATGACTGACAGGTATGCAACAAAGGTGGAATACTGACGGTAACGTCAAGCTCTCAGGGATGGCAATTTTCCGCTGATCTGCGGATTTCTGCTGATTTTATTTCAAATTGTTCAATTGTGAATCGTCCTAAATCCATTGAGAAACCCTCAACTCGATGACACAATATTAAGTTTTCAGCTGAAAATAGATTTTCCTGTTGCCATCCCTGAGCTCTGTAACTTATTTCTCTTTAGTGTATTTGAGCCCTCAAATTTTGCTAAAGCACCCATCTTGAAGGTAAACGGATAGCCAATGTTTGTAGTGAATGAGGATCTGGCGTTTACAAGTACGACCCTAGTCGATAGTGGTGGCCAGGGACGTTGACTCTTTATCAACCACTTTGTGAATTGTAATGAAAGGCGAGGTTTTCTGTGATGTACAATAAATTGTCACTGTTCCATTTTGGGGAGATTTAATGTTGGTATGTAGCTGAGATTATGAGAGAAAAATAGTTTTACTAGAGTCATGCATCGAACTTGTTGCTGAAGTTATCACCTGGAAATGTGGTGATGTGACGTGGATGCTTCTTCTGATGCTGACCGTGCGATGTATCTGTTACAGGTTGTCATTCCTGGTGTAACAGAGTCCTACTCCTCATCTCAAGACCCACCAGAGAGATCTATACCCATCTGTACTCTAAAGAACTTCCCCAACGCCATAGAACACACTCTACAGGTATGTCCACTTTACATGTGTAGTGTAGATGCTCATGACGTCAGTCACTGGATTGTCTGGTCAACCAGCGAGCATGACCACATGATGCTGCAAGTTGTTTCTTACCACAAACATGGCTGGCTGGTTTGTTGTTTAATGCTGCACTCGGCAATATTAGAGCTATAAGGCGGCGGTATGTAAATCACATCTGGACCAGACAATCAAGTGATCAACATCATGAGCATTGATCTACGCAATTGTGATACAATGCCATGTCAACCAAGTCAGAGTTTAAATCTTTGAAGGGCATTTAGAAGTGGAATGCATAAGAAAGCCAGTTGTTGCTAGTGGACAAGATCGTGGTGGCTTCCCATTTGATGGTGTGGTCCTTGTTGTCAAATGGGAAGCCACCAAGATCTTTTCTTTGTAAGTGCCTCACGTATGTATATATATTCTCCCTTATACTCCCTACCATTCACCTGATGAAGGAGCAAGCATACGCTCCCAAACGTCGTGTTATTCACAATAAAGAAGTGTTGACATCCATAAATCTTGCTTTTCTTAAGTCAGAGTTTGTTATTTGTAAAGTGCAAGTGTTGAATGTGACTACTTGAAATAACATGTCATTGATGTTTGCCATTTAGTGCTGTGTGCTAGATATACTTGTTTGGTGACGAGTCAAATATTGTTTTATTGTTGCAGTGGGCTCGTGATGATTTTGAAGGCATGTTCAAACATCCAATGGAGAGCGCCCAGCAGTATGTTACAGACCCCAAGTTCACAGAGAAGACTCTCAAAACACCAGGATACCAGTCTGTAAGTCTCCAGTAAACAATGTTTCTCTTATCTGGTAAACCAGGATTTAAATAGTCGCTATGTGTGTGCATGCAATGTGTTTCCTGAGATAAAGAAATATTGTAACAAAACTAACAATAAAATTGATCCTCTGCATGTAATGTGGTTGCTGAGATAAAGAAATATTGTAACAAAACTAACAATAAAATTGATCCTCTGCATGTAATGTTTGTGGAAATTTTGCAGTTAGTGCGAAATATGTACACATTAGTGTTGGGAATTGGTTAAAATCTCATAACTGATGATTGGTTCATTACTACCGATCAATCATCGAAAATAATTGGTTAGCGTCATTTATGAAATTTGTTATGCACATTAAAATAAGGGAACAAAATGTAGTTCTTCTGGGTTTTTTTGGCAAAATTTCACATCTTTAAAGGATGACTAGTATGTTAGGAACATAATTTTCTTGGAATCTTTAAGATAAATTCAATCATGATTTGAAACGAGCTTGTAGTGCTTACAAAATGTAACAGACAAAACCAACCATGTGAAAAATATTGTTAATGAAAACAAGTGTTCCAGAATTGTTTGTGTTCGATTATGAGAAATTATGATCGATTGCTTGGTCGTTTAGTCACTACGACCAATCTTCGATTATTTCAATTAATCGGACCACCACTAGTACACATGATAATGATTGAGTTTGTTACCTGTGGGTTATAATCTGGTTTAAACTGATTATGTTTCTAAATTTGACGGCACCAAACAAGTGGTTTCAAAGTGGTAGATGTCGAAGGGTTGCGTCACTTTGAGTTTTCCTCGGACAACAAGTTCTCATTTTAGTTTCTCTTGGACATAGTAAATTCTGTTCAATGTATTATTAGACCAGTTCATGTTTCTTCTTGGAAATACTATGCTAAATTAAGCATGGAAATCAAGAGAATTTTGTCCTTGTCTAATGTTAAAGGTTCAGTAGGGTGTCTAGTGGTAAACGGGCGGTGGGGTAGCCTAGTGGTTAAAGCGTTCGCTTGTCACGCCGAAGACCTGGGTTCGATTCCCCACATGGGTACAATGTGTGAAGCCCATTTCTGGTGTCCCCCGCTGTGATATTGCTGGAATATTGCTAAAAGTGGCGTAAAAATCACTCACTCACTCACTCACTCACTAGTGGTAAACGCTTGTCATGTTGAAAGTATAGGTTTGATTCCCCACATAGCTCCAGTGTATGAAGCATATTTTGGGTGTCCCATGCTGTGATATTGCTGGAATGTTGCTAAAAGCCATGTAATCTTATATTGTCTGTCTCTCACTCTCAAATGTTAATAGTTACACATTATCACCTAGTCTCCTGCCTTGCATGATGGTTTTGTAGTTCATGTGGTTTCTTTCATTTGACAGTTTGAAACATTTGATGCAGTGAAGAAAGCACTTGTAGATGAGCGTCCAGCTTCCTTCGAAGACTGCGTCAAGTGGGCCCGCAATGTCTTTCAGAGGAACTACTACAATCAGATTGCACAGCTGCTGTTCAATTTCCCAGCCGATCAGGTGAACTCTTCTTCACACGATCAACTCAGTAAATCAAAGCTGGTGCTTCACTGTGCAGTAAAGTACATTAATGAACATTATATCAAACTATGTTTTTTTGCACTTCTTGCAGGTGAGCCCTGGTGACAAGAATCCTTATCTATCTCTTGTACCATAGCAGTCTCTCTGCTTCCCCTGTCAAATCGCTGTGCGAGATTTTGCACACAACCCTTTGAGTCTTGCCAAAAATGGCCTAATGGGTTTGCTTTTTTAGTTGATTTCCATTTCTGGTAAAAAGCTGGAATACTGCTGCTAAGATAAATAAACATTGTCTCAAGTTTCCATGGCAACAACTCTTGAGTTTGAAAATGCCTGTGAAGCTTATTCCCAGAGCATATCTTGAAAACAATATTTCTTCGCCAAACCTGTCACTTTGATAGTTGACGTGGTGAGTTAGTGCCTTTTGATTGGTTGGTACTGTTGAGTTTACGTGGCAAAATCGAGGGTAATTGGAATGTTTCCTAGATGTCTGAGTCTCTCAATTCTTGAAGAAAATAACCCCACAAAAACTGTTCCATTTAACATGCAGTCAGTATTAGTTGATGTTGATAACATGAATGTATTTCTGATGATGGGTTGTGTTATCTTCAGCTCACCAGTTCAGGAGCCTTGTTCTGGTCTGGTCACAAGAGGTGTCCTCATCCGATAATGTTTGATACCGAAAATGTGAGTGTCATGCCATGTGTTTCTAAATACTTTACTTATAAATCTTATGCTCTGCATATCATACAGTAAGACAATATGACATTGTTGCATTAATATAAGCAAATTGAGGCCCTTTGGCAAAGTAATAATTTTCAAAGAACTTCGCTGGAACAGTAGATATGAATTATTTTACATGTTCCTTTGTGCAACAAATGTGTCACATAGGATTTTTCTTTTAATTTGTTTCTTTCACAACACATAGGATTAATGCCAGCTGAATATGCTTGGTTGTTGAGCGTCAGTGTGAAGTTGTTTTTTATCTACCTGAAGTATTCAATGATTGTTCTTGAAACACAGCTGAAGTTTGTCTGGATCATTGTTTAGGGTTTACATGTGGACTACATCATGTCATGTGCAAATCTTCGGGCTGAGATGTATGGCTTGAAACAAGTGCGAGATCGTCAAACCATCAAGGACCTAGTGTCCAAAGTGGTGGTACCTGAGTTTAAGCCAAGGAGTGGTGTCAAGATTGATGTTACTGACGCTGAAGCTCAATCAAGGCAGCAGGATATATTTGGTGAGTTGCACTTAAACTGTAAACCATGTCATTTTCAAGTTATTTTACAATCCTGGCTCTTGATAATAATACACAGTGAAATCTCGTATGGTCATGGAAAAAATGAAAAAGGGGTGGTAACCTACTGATTAATGCAGTTGCTCGTCATGCTAAAGTCATGGGTTCGATTCCCCATATGGTTAGAATATCTAATGAAAGAGGGGGCGGAGGGCTAGCCTAGTGGTTAAAGCGTTCGCTCGTCATTCCGAAGACCTGGGTCGGGTTTGATTCTCCACATGGGTAAAATGTGTGAAGCCCATTCTAGTGTCCTCTGCTGATATTTTGATGGGGTATTGCTAAAAGCTGTGTAAAACCATATTCACTCACTCACTCAGTCTGAGAGAATTTTGAGTGTGTAGATTGTTATATAACACAGATCCTCACCAACTCAGATGGACAGATGAACATGCAAGCTGTGTTGGTGTAAACACAATTGTCTTTAGATATTTCAGAGTATATTCTTACTCCTTCATTCACTTGATGGAGTTAGAATATACTCTGAAACGTCATGTTCCTCAAATAAAAAACCTGACATCCATAGATATCTCACCTTTATGTGTATCACTTCTAAATGCTGTTCAAAGACACAGTTGTCTTTAACAGTACAACTTGATATTTGAGAAACATTCTGTTGTTTTAGTGTGGTGTTTGCCATGATGTAGAAAACTTGTGTTTATTTTTCAAAGTGCATTTGAAATTATCTGAATTACACAGTGAATTTAGAAGCTTGCGTCATTGCTGACGTAATGCTTTTCGGCCCTTGGTTCAGATAATGTAAACTTCTAAACCTAAATGTTTGCCAGTTGACTGCTCAGTGCTGATTAAATACCTGACCTGCCTCACCTTGTTTTTTGTTGTTATTAAACAATCACAGTTGATGTCTTGATGAAAGTTCCAAACTCAAGTTGACTCCCAAAACATGCCCATGACTCCCTCTCATGACACCAGGGAGTCATGATGACTCCTAAATTGTTATGCCTAGGGCAAACACTGTTAGTCTCTTTGATGTTTTGGGTACTGTTATTTGATACACTGTTGTTCCACAGACCAAGACCAGCTGGAATCCATGGTGAAGGCCCTCCCATCTGCTGACAGCTTCAAGGGGGTCAATCTTCAACCCATTGATTTCGAGAAGGACGATGATACCAACTTCCACATGGACTTCATTGTGGCGGCCTCCAATCTCAGAGCAGAGAACTATGATATCCCCCCAGCCGATAGACACAAGGTGAGCTTTGTACCAGGGCTACTGTTATAGAAATGACATCTCTTACAGTTTTGTAATAATGAACAGACTTCATGGATAACAACTTCTGTTTTTACGTGAGTGTGATGTTTCGATACAGATTCTTGTACCGTTGTCAAACAGGAATAATAGTAAAAGAAGTTGTTATCCATAAAGTTTGCTCAATATTCTCAACTTCTACAATGCCACTCAAAGAAGTCTTACAGATTTAACAATAGTTATGATTTTGAGGCTCAAATCATTCCAGCTTCTTGTCCTCGCCTAAATTATGACATCAAACTGATTTCTTTTCTTATTTCAGAGCAAACTGATTGCTGGTCGAATCATTCCTGCTATTGCAACAACGACAGCCATGGTTGTAGGTCTTGTTGGCCTGGAACTCTTCAAAGTGAGTCATGTTTACAAAATAAGCAAATCATCAATTTTTAGGTAACAGCGATAAGCAGATCTGATTAACATACGTGTTCTGTGAAGATCTGGTTACACAAAAGCAGCACCTGATGGTCAGACTTGCTGGTTGTGCATGTCATATTATACCCAGTTACATTGTTTTGAGGGGCGGTGCAGTAGCCTAGTGGTTAAAGCGTTCGCCCGTCACGCCAGAGACTAGGGTTCGATTGTCCACATGGGCACAATGTGTGAAGCCCATTTCTGGTGTCCCCTGCTGTGATATTGCTGGAATATTGCTAAAAGCGGCGTAAAGCCAAACTCACTCACTATGTTGTTTTGTGTTCATGATATCAGTCTGGATTTATGGGTTAGCCATGTTGTGTTTTATAGTGTGACAGCATACCCTGAATTGTGGCTGGTTACTCATGTTATCAATCACTGAATTGTCTGGTCTTCATTTCATTATTCTTACAATGCAATGCTACAGCTAAAATATTGCTTAGGTCAGCATGAGAAAACTACAAAGCATGCTTATATTGATTATGTTTACAGTGATGATGGATAGGTATTCATGGATGATGCTATTGTTATTTCAGCTTGCTCAAGGACATAGGAATGTAGAGGTGTTCAAAAATGGATTTGCAAACTTGGCGCTGCCATTCTTTGCTTTCTCTGAACCAATCCTCGCCCCCAAGAACAAGGTACGTATGAAGCTGAAAGGTGTAGCAACAATCTTAGATGGAAAGAACTGACATTCTGTGGTTGCCATATTTAACACCTGTTACAGTACATGCTCTCAGCCACTTTTACAGCAGTGTTGTAGTAATCTGTATGAGCATCTGCTTGGAGGACCTGTGAAGATCTGGGTTAGAATTGATCTTCAGTAACCCATGTTTGTCGTAAGAGGCGACTATCGTGAGGTCATGCTCACTTGGTTGACACGTCATAGTATACCAATTGTGTAGATCAATGCGCATGCTGTTAATCACTGGATTGTCTGGTCCAGACTTGATTATTTATAGACCGCCGCTATATAGCTGGAATATTGCTGAGTGTGGCGTAAAAGTAAAACTCACTCACTCACTCTGCTTTGAAGGTGGAAGGTTGGTGGTGCCATGCACGGCCGTGTCATTCCAACAGATGATAAAAGATGGTACTTGTTGTCTGGCGCTAGGCATTAAGGGAGTATATGATGGACTGCACCATGGTGTTTCAGTCTCCCTGCTTGATAAAATCAGCATTAGTCTGTACAGTTACAAGCTGCCGCATGCAGAGATTCATGCACAGATGCATATTGTTACACAAGTGCAATGATTATTAATGTATTGTTCATCCCTTTTCACCTATCCCCATGAAATGAGGTGTCTAGTACATTGTTCCTGTTATTAAAAGGGGCGGTGGGGTAGCCTAGTTGTTAAAGCGTTTGCTTGTTACACCAAAGTCCCAGGTCCAATTCCCCATATGGATACAGTGTGAGAAGCCCATTTCTGGTTTCCCCCACCGTGATATTGCTGGAATATTGCTAAAACCGGCATCAAACTAATCACATTCACACTCCTGTTATTAACATAAGTGATTGAGCCTTCATTTATTCTCAGCTGGGACTGTTGAATATGTTGCTGTAAGCTTGTAGTTGACCAACTGTGTCTCTGTTACAGTACTATGATGTGGAATTCACCTTGTGGGATCGCTTTGAGGTACAAGGGGAGATGACTCTCAAGGAATTCTTGGCCTACTTTCAGGTAATGCTGATATGACTATTCATCATATTACTTAGTGCACACTTATGTTACGTTTTGGATTAGAATTGGGTTTTAATAGGGTATTTGGGGCGGTGGGGTAGCTTAGTGTTTAAATCGTTCGCTGACGCCGAAGACCTGGGTTCGATTCCCTACATGGGTACATTGTGTGAAGCCCATTTCTGGTGTCCCCCGCCGTGATATTGCTGGAATATTGCTAAAAGCAGTGTAAAACTAAACTCACTCACTAATAGGTCATTTGCTATTTCTCACTAACCAGTTTGTTCTGTATAAGCAAGTCCTAACCTTCGGTCATTGAACTGTTCACCTGTGATTATTCTGAGGTTAGATGTCCTTCAGTATGATATTATACTGTTTGTTCTCAAAGTGATTTTTTGAGTGAAGATTCCTGGTTAGAATATGTAAACCATGTTTGTCTTAGAGTGACGACTAGTCAGACACACCGAATTGGTTAATGCATAGCTCATCACTTGATTGACTGGTCCAGAATTATTTTCATTTAGCTATCATGCTGGAGGAATGTTGTATATGTATATGTGGGGTAGTGGGCTAGTCTAGTGGTTAAAGTGTTCACTCATCATGTCGAAACCTGGGTTTGAATCCCTATGTAACGGGGATGGCTCTTTCACAACACCACAACTCCGTTGAGGCTGCAAGTTCCTTGTTTATTTCTGTAGTTTGTATTGTATAATACACAAGTCTGAAACAATGTATATGAATATATAACACTCCATCAAAATACCTATTTTATCACATTCATTTCATTGCACTTTGTTAAGATAGTTAATAATTGCAATACTACCATTTAACATATAAAAAGAACTCAAAACAAATTGACATCACAAAAATAATGGTTCAGTTACATATTGAGATCCTTAGGAATTATGGAACACATTTGGCATCTTCAAAACAACAACAAAACATCAACGTGTCTCACCATCTATGGGACAACTTGTTTCAAACTGACCACATGTTGTGAGGCACCAACAAAACACCAACCAAACACCAACCAAGGACCTAAAATATGTATGTTTAATTAGCATGGAAATGCTAATTCTCACCAGTAAAGTAAACGTACAATCTGTTTGGACTCAAACATTAATCTGAATCAATTATAAGTGAAATTATTGACACCAACAACTTCTAACCATAGGTCAAAATATACCACCACCAAATGCATAAATTCAGCTACAACAAATACTGAATTAACCTTTCAACAATTTAACATATTTTTGTATTTTATTCCTTTTACATAAAACCAACATACATAAAAGTTTAACCAACCTGTAATTCACCAAAATCACAATCCTCCATCCATGACTTTCCAACCACCTTGCCAGGTTGGGAGAAAGACAGCAACTGAACAAACTTAACACTTTCCAAATGCAACTAAATTCAACATCCAATCAAGATGCTGCACAGCTTCAGCCAATGAAAACCATGACAGCAGACCTGACCTCATTAAGATTTGGCTAATTTGCATAGGAAGTACTACTCGACCCATGACCCAGTGATGACTATAAACAAATCATGGACTTGTGAAAATGTAAACCTTTCCACTGACAATTGTATTCTTGTTTAGGGTGTTATGAATTGATTCCAAACAGGAACATAAGACAAGACATATTAAAATGATTGCTTTTCCAGAAGATTTTACAATTTGTATAATTTGTAATTGTTACACACTTGTACTTGTTACACACTTGTATTTGTTACACACTTGTTTTGTACTTGTTACACCTACACGAGCACAATGTGTGAAGCCCAGTTGAAAATGCTGTTTAAATCTGGTTTCAAGAGAGTAGACATATAGACTACACGAAAGCGAAACAACACCGAATGTAAATAGGAATATGAGAACAAGTACAAAATCGATCAAGACATTGTCTCACCCTGCTAAGTTTCAAGTTAAGTGGTAAATTGTTCATATCATTGTAAAGATGTGCGTCAATACAAAATGCATGACAACATTAGGTAGTGCTCTACATACGTGTGACTTGTTAAGTGGCAAATAGTTCACATGATAGTAAAGTTGTGTATATGTAAACACAGAATAGATGCGAATATTATCCGATATGACTTGTTGATGGTAGTATATTTGTACTGTTGTTCCCAGGAGAAACACAAGCTGGAGATCACCATGTTGTCTCAAGGAGTGTGCATGTTGTACTCATTCTTCATGCAGCCTGCTAAAAGGGAAGAAAGGCTTAATTTACCGTAAGTACTCTTGTTGCTGTTTTTTGTGAAACCTGCATTTCCCCCTACTTTAGTTTGTAGTGTCAGTTATCATGAGTCATCTTGAGATGAGGTGGGGTGGGGTAGCCTAGTGGTTAAAGTGTTCGCTTGCCACGCTGAAGACAGGTTGGTTTCCCTACATGGATACAGCGTCTAAAGCCCATTTCTGGAGTCCCCTGCTGTCATTTTGCTAAAGGCAGCGTAAAATTGAACTCGCTTATCTTGAGATGCAGCCAATGTTTGTTTTATGAGGCGACTCGACCGGATCAGATCGTCAGATGGACTGACTTGGTTGATGGATGTTATCCTTGTATCTAATTATATCCCTGTGCTTGTCATTACTCTCATGTGAAGCCCATTTCTGGTGTTCCGGTGTTCCCCAAAGCTTGAATATTGCTAAAAGCAGTGTAAAAAGCATGCTCTCTCATTGGACATACTTTGTGAAACCTGCCCCAGAACTGAAAAGAGTTCACAGAGTGCTTCTAAGTAAAGACTACCTGTTCCCCGCTGTTTTGTTTTCATGGAACAACTTCTTGATACGAGTATGTTACCAATGTCTTTGATTTCTCTAGAATCTCAGAGGTAGTGAAGAAGGTCTCCAAGAAGAAGGTCCCACCGCATGTGCGTGCCCTGGTGCTTGAGATTTGCTGTAACGATGAGGAGGGTGAAGATGTTGAAGTGCCCTACGTCAAGTACAACCTACCTAGATAGACAGATGACCAGAAAGCCTGCTTGCAATCACTCTCACGTCCATCACGCATGTCTGTTGCTTCATCTGACAAGCAGATGCCAGGTCAAATCATTATGATGCTGATTGTCTAATTTATTCTCAAAGTAACCTTCCTGTCAATGTCCACGCTAAGTTTCCACCAGAATTACATGTTGATAAGTTTCAATGCTTTTCAGCCTTTAGTAAAAGGTTGTAGTGTTGAATCGAGGTCGTCACAAGTTCTAATCACGAAACTAGTTGTGATGGAAAGTTGGCAGCTGTTTGACAAAGGCCGTAGCTGTTTGAAAGATGAAGCGACAACACCATGAAAGCCATTCTGCTGTGTTAATGGAGAGGCTGGAGGCTGTAGTTGCACTTTTATATCCCAAGTAGGCGGTATACATCTTTACAGCCTTATACAGCGAGACAATATTTTCTTTTTGTAAAAGTCTGTATTCACGTTAGGTGTTCATATCTTAAGATAAAAGGAGTATTTTCGCTTGTCAGAAAAAAATGCTGTGGCATCTGAATAAAAAAAAAAGAAGATATAAATATTTCAGTGTATAAAATTCAATGTTTGTGGACAAAGTCGCGCTGATGGATATCTTGTAGTACAACTGCATGTTGTATAGCTTTGTACAAAAAGCTTCTAGTATCGTTTAACTTTCTCGCCTCTGCCTCACTCCGGATTATTTCATGCAGTGCATGTTCAATATGCACTTATTTATAGTTGAGCAAGTTGTTGCAATAAAATATCTTTGGAACACTTATGATAATCTTGTATGCGTGATATGATGTTTAACTGTCAGATCATTTGGTACTTGTCAATTCCATTTGTTAATAAACTGATGAAATCTACCGTTTTGTCTGTATGTGCACCTGGAGGTAAACTAGAACTGAGCAACAACTCCTCACCTGAAATACAGGGATGTTTCAAGGATTCTGAACTAAGTGTACTTTGGTTGTCAAATCAGGAAATTTTGTCAGTATTTGTTAGATCTTAAAATCCCATTCTAACATTGGCTCACACGTCGTAATGTTAAACTGGGCTCTTCCTTTGTTGGGGTAGCCTAGTGGTTAAAGTGTTCGCTTGTAACGCCAAAGACCCAGGTTCGATTCCTCGCATGGGTACATCTGGTGTCCCCTGCTGTGATGTGCAGCTTTGAGAAGTTATTCAGTTGTATCAATGCGTCTGCTTGATATGGAAGGAGAACCAAAAGTGATGCAGGTCAATCAAACCCAGTAGAAACCCATGAGCAGGGACATAGCACCTAAACCCTGGTGCATTGAGTAAGCTGTTTTTTTGTGATGTAAATTTTTCCAGAGTAACTTAAACGTTTGTCCTAATACCAGTCACAGCTGTCTGGAACAGCAATGTTTGTTGTAATTCCAGAAGAAACACAGACTCGTCAGATTGTACAAAAAAATTTATTATAACAATGACTCTACTACAACACACTGCTGCATCATGACCCGAGTTAACGGGCGGGGTCGCCGAGGTCGAGTTGCACTGCTTGGCGCGACCCCAAGCCAGCCAAGTGACGAGTCACCCCATCCGACCTCGCCCCGAGAGAAGTAACAAAGACAAAGGAGGTGGGCCTGGTAACAGCCCCGCCAAGTATCACTCGAGATGGTCACAGCAGCCAGTCACGAGGCAAGACCCGTCTGTTGCCATGACTACTCATCACAATCAAGGGGGGTGGGGTTAGGAGTTGGCAATGTGCCACACCCTTCCCCTGCCCGGGGGAACAGACTCACCAGTAGCCTGTGTTAGGGTGTATGAAGTTAGAAGTATGTACAAGGTGGGGGGAGGGGGGGATGGCTTTGACATCACGTAATGGGCGCCACCACCCCAGCATCATGCATTGAGCTACTCTACAATAAGTACCAACACTCCTGCAAAACTACATATGGCAAAGTTCAAACTAGTGGAGAGAAGGAGAGCCATTTGCAGAAGATATCCCATACTGAATCTTCAAACATCCTATATTGCCAAACGCTCAACAAAACATAGCAGCAGCTAAAACGCTTTGGCAATAACTGGAATAAACACAACAGGAACAACAGTATGTTGTTAACAATAATCAAAAAAAAAACCCACTGAGTATGTGTAAGTATTCATAAATTGCCAATGGTGTAGTAATTTCTTATAATATATAATATGAGACAGGGAATAGAGATCAGAATGTACACCATGATATTCATATATACTCTCTCTCCTACAACACACAGGTCCTGTGGCCAGTAACGCCACATATATATAAATTTATATATAGCTCCAAAAACCTCCATACATTAACATCATCCAAGATGAAACAAGAAATGAGTCATGATATCTAAGCACACAAATTCATCATGGATATGCTGTAGTGTCTACAAGTGTGCTAGCCCAGTCGACGATGGTGACAGCAACGTCACCTGCAACATCTACGACACAAATTGGCAGACTTGTTGGTAGGTCTCCTCATCCTGACATCATCGGCATGGGCGGCAACTCCCTCCTACACCGGCGGCCTGGGTGCTGACGTGGACGCTGACGCTACTGAGCTCAACGGCAGCAAGCACATCTCGGGGTCTCGCTCGTTAACAAGCCGAATTGTCTGTCGGGACTAACCGGTCATGTTATTAAGGAAGGGTGGGATGGGGTGTTCATTCGTATTAGTAAATGGTAAGGGAAAATAAGTCTAGTCTACGCAGCCATTGGGCAGGTAAAGAAAGTTGCAAGAGTGTTATGTGAAAAATTATCTGAAGATGAAGAAAATCTACTCTAAAATAAAATCGACTCTAGGCATGACAGTGAGAGCGAGCACGAGAGAGGGTAAGTCCACATAGGCAACAGTCAGGCAGCAGCCCTGGAATGACGGGCATATCATGGCAGACATTGACAGACGAGCGGACATTAGGTAAACATGCACGAGCAAGGCATGACAGGATTGGACGCTCACACGTCATCGGAAAGAGGCAAAGAAACACGTAGGGGTGAAGGGGAGGTAATATTGATACAAGCATTGCAACCCTCTACTGCTTCCATCCTTCACAACATAGAAAAAAACCAATATAAATATCTGTAAAAAATGAAAATGTATCTACAATGAATTGAAAGACTAGGCAAATACCACAGTGCTCTACCCTACAGCCTTCAAGCTATGCTTAAATATCATAAATAAACGAGAGTTCTGGGCTAGATTTAGATTTTCCATATTACACACTTGTTGATCTAGGAATCTTTATACATGTGACATTTACAATAATTACAGTATCAACATAGAGGAGATAGTGGGAACCTCGCACACGTCTTTCACACAGCGCCCTCGGTTTGCATAAATCTGTTCACACAGAAGGAGGAAGCAGTACAGAGAGAGTAAAAAGTGTTAATAGTAAAATTGTAAAATAATTTGGTAGGAAAGCCCTCTTGAGCTACAGACCTTGTGCCTACATACTGCAGCATGAATCAGCTGACAAACAACCTATGAGTCTGCACACGTGATGGAATGGGTAGAAATTTGACCATTGGGCCGGTCACCAATCTGTTCATAAATATATCTTCAACGTCCCTGAGAATGATGACCAGTCACCGAAAGAGCGTTCAGATTATCTCAACGAAAGCCATGTTACATTGTCTAGACACCGATGTATGACATACCAATCATGCTTGCAGTCAATGCGTGTTATCAGTATGCTCTACACGATCTTTCTCAAGAGTTGTCTTTCCTTTGGGAACTCTCCAAAAGAGAAAGCAAGGAAAAGGTGTAGGGATGACAGTAAGTCTGTCCAAGATTTCTTTTGTAACTCTCACGAGTCGGGATGTGAAAAAAGACACAAAAATAAGGGATTCCTTTGTTCATTCATCGGCATAAGGGATACTTTCGCCTCGCCCAAACCAAGGTGAAGATGGCGATTCGTCCGCCTCAGGCGAACTTGTAAGAGTGGGCTTCTTTGAAACCCCAACTCTTTGGGCCTGAAGAGACTGAAGGCTAATAACAGAGGGCCTGCTACGCTTGTCATAACTGTCCAAGTGAGAATCTAAGTCCATTTGGAAAGCATTTACAACACGAATCTGAAAACAGAAAGAAAAAGCAAAAAATTAAGGATGCCGACATTGGTTTCGTAAACCAATTACTGTGAAACGAAGAAAAGTTCTAACTAGAAGCATAGTGTCGCATGCTGCAGAGTCACTATGTAAAGAAAGGAGCATGCTGAAGTCTACAAACTACCAAAAGGAAGCAAAAAAGCAGGCAAAACCATGCAGCATGCCTGAATAATAATCAAGCAAAATCGTGCCGTACAAGCCACAGAACTTTTTACGCCAGCAATGAGAGCTAAGGTACTAACTGTGCTTTCTGACTCAACACTTGTGAGGAGTGTTCAATTCCCTTCAAACATTTGTGGTATTAGAATATTCAGATAAAAGGTTAGCATGTTAGTTTCCCTTGTTAGTAGATAATGAACATAGCTGATGAAATATGATTAAAATGCAATAGATACATAAGTAAAATATATACAATTAAACAGGAAAAGTCTATAGTCACTTTTCCCCGGTGAGTAAACATACAGAAACCTTTGACGGTCTGGAAAAGGGAAAAAAGAGATTAGGGGCTACAGTTTAAGATTCTTACTGGAGCGCAAAGCACTCAAATATGATGGGTGTAAGGTGCAGATATGCCCCTTGACCAAGCAAAGCAGACGTGAGTGGTATGTGGCGGGGTGAGACAAAGTGGGACAAGTGGGACCGTGACCAATTATAGGTGAGGACACATCCAGATACTAGGTCGGTGACCAACCAGAAGTGCTGTTACATCCATACATGACTTGCGATATTATGGCTCCTCTTCAGTGGTTGTCATGGCTGCAGATTTCGATCCGTTTTCTATACGTCTTCTTGAGTTTTTCAGATTTTCTTCCCAGCAGAAATCTCAAGACATTTCATTAGTATCTGGTACCATGAAATATTTTAACATTTCCTCTCAGAAGTCAGACGGACTGAGCAGGAAGGATCTCAGCAGAAGTCTGCAATGCAGCCTTGAGAAAAGGTCGACCATGTTTTGTTCTGGTGAGACAAGGGCCCCGTAAAGTCGGATAACCCATCACCGAAGTTAAACTTGAACCAAAACAATAACAAAATTTAGAAAAAATAAATAAATTCCAGAAGGGAAAAAAGAGAGCTGTATGGTTTCAAGATGCTTCACGGAGCGCAGGCATGACACACAACACTGACTGCATTACACAGAAACCTGCCGAGGATCACCGGGAAGGGCTAGAAACTACTTTCCTCAAGTCAACTTTGGATATAACCAAACCCACAGACAAATTCAGCTATCGAAAAATAATGCAATATCCAAGTGGTGAAATTATTATTTGTGTACAAGGGTAAAAACAAAATTATGGTTAAATCTACTTCTCGGGAGATTATTATATACAAAGTTGACTGTGAAATGACCAATATATGTTTAGTTGTAATTTTAGTATTCATTGCTTGATGTTTTGAAAAATTATTTACCAAGAGATTTTAATTTTCTTTCTCATAGTTTCTAGCCCTTATCATTTGTAAATTCCAACCTCATTCTAAACATTTAAAAACTCATTGTATGTCACAGAATTTTGAAGAAAATTAGAAGTCTGATTAGAAAAGTTTTGAAATTGAAATCCAGACAATCCAAATGCAAACACAATGATCAACATTGAATTTACATCATATTTCTGAGGAAATACAATTTTGATTCCAGTTTCTAAATTGTAAATTCTTGAGGTTGGATACTTTTGGAAATCTCCAATAGTCTGCTCGCCTTAATAAACTTGGTCTTGCGTTTACAACCATACATGATTTCAACCTAGCATGCAAAAAACACAACAACATTTCCTGTATAAAATGAGTTAGTCCAGGCAGGGAGTTTTAAAGTTTTCATGCTTTTGAGATTTTGAATGAAAAAGCAATAATAAAAGGGGGAAAACATTAAAAGACAAAATCCATGAAAAGTAATTCCAGTGAGCCCACCTATTGAAGTTTAATAGAAATATTCAAAGTAATTTGTTACAAATTGTTCCAAATATCTCCAAGACCAAATTTATCTGTTATTTACATCATCACGAATCATAACCAACTATTCTATCAGATTAAAATTTGTTTATTTCTTAAAAACCATAAATAATTGCATGAACATTTATACTTTAAACGAAAAAGTATTACAAAACCTACAGTTGTGAATAACATGTCTTGTCAAAACAGCTTACGACATTCTCGAATCTCTGAGCCTAAAGTCTGCCGTTAACCAGCAGAGAATTTATTAACAATGATATACATTTGTTCAACAGTCAGTGTAATACTACCCAGTACATCTGAAAACGCACTTTGAAATACCAAAGTGTGTAATATTTATCGGAAACTAAGTCAGTGCAAGAAACACTGAACACTATCATGCTGTGATGAGAATAGTACATCTTGGAAGCAATGTACAAATGAAGACTTGCAAAGAAAATCTACACTGACGAAAAAATACTTTTATCTATGGATCATAAAATATGATAAATAACAAGCCATAATAATAAAGTTGTGAAAATTCAACTTTCTCATTGGATAACATCTCTTAACTATATCCCAACATCCAGTGGATAACAACCAATATTTGATGGGTCAAACTGTCTACAATTGAATGGGCAGATGCTAAACAACTTTATACATCAGGTGCATCGATTCAAACTGTTAGCATACTCATCACCAAGATCTCATCCTCGTCCCGAATTGTGTCCGAAAATTGGGCAGTTATTTAAAAAATCGGGACAATTTTAAACTTTTCAAATCGTCACTATTACAAAAATCCTGTCCTAACCTGCCCGAATTTAGGAAAGTTTGGGTGAACTATCGATCTGAAATCTACTACACACTGTGAGGCTACAAATAAGAATTTCTCAAAATTAATATAAGGCAGGCAATTTTACATTTCTCACTGCCATCATTATGAATGTCTAACCTGCCAACTGAAGAGTGTTTTCGATGAACTATTGATCTACAAGACTTGGAGTAATGCTACTAAATGAGAATTAGAACTAGATTAATCTGTGAACATATAAACTTGCACTCTCCATATATCATCTGCGTGTTCCCATTGCGATGAGGCTGAATAATGCAGTCTATCACAAGTTTTACCACCAAATCTGGCCACTGCTAGTTCCGACATCATCAACCTTCTACTCCGAGACTCAACAACTCTCACTGAGATTATTATACCAACAGATAATTCTTCCCCCATCATTGACAGCGACAACCATATGGAGAATCTTCAGAGCCTGTCGGTAACAGGTCATTTTGTGGTTTCACAGAAATGTTTCAAAACAAAATCACCTTTTCATGTTACTGATTTTGTGAAAGGAGTGTCAAAAAACTTTGTTTCAAGGAATGTGAAGTTGGAAATGTTTGTGATATTGGGAAAATGGGCTCTCGATTGGAATGGTGATGATTTTTGCCGAGAGAGAAACCCAGTTTGCTGGGATTGTTTTTGAGAAAAGTTCTGAGAAAATGAGACATAACTGTTTCAACTTTTCATATTCCACTCAAGAATTAAGTAAAAAAATAGAAGAAGAAAAAAAACCAAAATAATAAATACCAAAAACACCTGCAACTATTCTTTGATCATAATTGTGAAAAATGTTTTTTCCCTTTTAATGAAATATATGGTTAAAAATTTCTGTATAAAAAGTCATACTACAAACTGTACACAAAGACACATGGAGAATAAAATAACTGATTGTTCACAACTGTCTACAGCAGACAAAGAGTATCAAAACCATAAACACCAGTGTTTTGTACTTTTATCAAAATTGGAGCAAATATGATCTGAACAAAACAATGAGATTCCTATTTTCACCAAAGTGGAGATTAACCGTTTTGATTTACATCCTCCTCAAATACTGCTACAGATTCGGAAACAAGAGAAAAGTATCCTCCTTAGCATCTAAAACACAACATAAGTTGACAAGAAGATGCTGGAAAATCCACTGAGTCATCCAGTACTTCCACAAACATATAAATCAGATTACAAGATTACTGAGTAATGGATTCCGCTTTTCATATCGTATCTTTGGTTCAATTTTCCTGAATCTTTCATTATAATTCCCGCCGAGTCAGGACATCTTCACGACACACATAATACCTAGAGACATTGATTGTCATCATTCAAGAATTTCTTTTCCAAGCCTATCGATTTGTTTCTTCAAATCATCAATACAAAACTGGAAGATCTACCTCGTCAATGAGCACCTAAATCAATAGCCTTTGGTACGCCCTTGTTCAAAATGGAGGCTAATATACTCTCAACACTCTCACTGCATACTTGCATGGCTGTTGGGTTATAAAATACACAGCAGCAGACGATATAATGTCATGAAAATCCACTCAATATGCATCAGATATCATTAGCAATGTGTATCACAGGTAACAAGGAAACACAGCACAAACATCTTGTATTCAATACCATCAGAAATCAAATTATGCAGGCATCTAAGGGAGAAAACCCTCATCCAACAACATGCAAAAGTCAGTCAAGACACACAGCATGTGAAAACCACAGTGGCCAGATTCAGTTTCAAGACTACAAGATAAAATATAAACTTGCAATAGTGACTCACGATAATGGGAAAAGAAGCTAAAATTATGCCGAGTCGACAATGAAGATCGGACATGTGATTTGAGAGCCACTAGATGAGTGTACAGAAAAGATGTGTGTCCGTTTCAGTATTTACACACGTGACTGAATGTGGAGGTATGCTTGGATGAAATTGTGGAGGTGAGTGGGAATGGTTAGAGAGTCGGATCCTAACGAACCCCGAAGGATGATTACACATAATTGCCAGCCAGCAGGGGCCGTCCCTTAGGGAGCCGGGCTGCCACATTTACACATCATTAGAACATTTGTGCTATGTACATGGTTACCGAGAGTGCAAAGCTCCTGTACATGATTGAGTTTAACTACATCTATTTCTCGGCATCTACAGGTGAATTGTGGGTAACGGCATATATCGCCTTTACTGCCTGGCCCGTACAGACAGTCACAAGCAGGCTGGTTTTATTGACAATAAACAACAATAAAAACATGCCAAGTAGAAAATAATCATGGGAAAAAAAATATAAAAAACGAGGACTTGAGAAAAACACATATTTAACAAGGTGGCAAATTACATAAAGTTAGAAGGCTGCTTATAGCAGTCGCTAAAGCCGAGACAGGGTGAAAGGTCACAGGTGACACAACACCAGAGTGATGACTACGCTGACGACGACCACCACTATGCAGACGACGATGATGATGCAGCAGAGATGACGACGATGACCACACACACAGGATCTTATTATGTACAGGGGTGAGGGTCCTCCAATCTAGACAGCAGCGGGTGGACAGGAGGAGCAACACGACTGAGGTACACATGAGCAGACGTGAAGTGAGGCTATAGATTGGATAGCGAGACACACAGCTAGCCAATCACAGTGCAGTCTGCTCAGTATTGGGCGCGGTGGCGTGGGAATCCAAGGGACGAGATGATGCTGCCTCAGAGTCGTGGGTACACAGCATGGAGGAGGACATAGTGGTGGGTGGTTTTTTGGACATCATTCTAAAGTTTTGCAGTGAGTGGTAGCTATGGATTGATGACAAACTACGACTGTCGTAACGAGCATCTAAGCTCATGCGGAAAGCATTAACTACACGTATCTGAAAACAAACCAAAAGAAAACATTGAAAGTATTTTAACACATACACAAAACGGAAACAAGAGGTACAGCGGGGTTAGTGGACTACAAACTATAAAACAATAGAGTACCAAGTACTTAGGACAAGTAAGTACACTTGAATTGTGCAGGTCGAGTGAGGTGAAATCAAAGCTTGGTCATGTGACTGTCATGTGACTGGACCAAACCCCAGTGCTAGGAATGTTCCTGCAACACGTGTGAACGTACTAACATACGCAGAAAGAAACACACGCAACCAGGAGACGACGACATCCCACATCAATGCAACAATAATCTCCTGCCCATAGTAACCCTTTGGCATACGTGCTAGACGCACACATACACGGTTTAACAACAACTATAACTTGTTATCACAGTGAATCACTCTGTCACTGCTCAGTCGCCCTGGTGCTTGACAACAGACATCCATGTTAGCTCGTCATGGGCCGACCAGCACAGGTTGACGACGGCAATGACGACACAGTCCCATTTAACGATGTTGAGGCGGTGAGCCATAGGGGGTGGAGCCAGTGAAGGCAGCAGCCACGGCAGCCAATCAGATCGTAGTCTCGTGTCGGGCGCCCACAATGTCAGAGTGACTGAGAGTCTTGGGAGGCGAGGCTTTGTGTGCTGGGTTGGTCGAGGCCATTATGGGGGAGGGCTGTTTAGAGACTAGGGGTACATTCTCGTATGATAGGCTCTTGAGTTTAAAAGGCTGGTCACAGTGGGGGGAAGAATAATCGGGGATTGGGGGGAGTTGAGGTCGGGAGGAGGGGTACGTAAGAATTTATCATGATGTGAGTTAGCCTCTTCACTGATAGTACGAGGCCCCTGGTGACTACGGGAGCTACGAATGCTGTGTAAACTGTGAAAACTGTGAACGCTACGTTTCTCCTCCAGATCCTCAAGTGTACTCTTAAATGCTCTCACTACTCGCAGCTGTCAACAAAAAAGAATTAACATTTACTCAGGCTGCCAGAGAAACCAGCCAGCAACACAAATTGGCGATGGCGGCGAGAAGGCGGCAAGATTCCCAAGCTCCCACAGAACACAACTAAGGATGTATGTATGTATGTAGGTTTGTACCATGAGCCCATACACTCAACAAACACACACCCAACCTCAGAGAAAACTCAAAGAGAAAGGATGAAGAGAAAAATTATGATTTTACATATATTAAAGGACTCGGTGACAGTCAATCATTTCTGGCTAAGTTATATTCACACAAAAGTTCTGTGTTGTTTTTAAAATGTCTCAAAATTCATACTACTAGTATTTCTGACTTACTTCATGGTCAAATATTTCGAACTGCGTCCCTTAAGTAAATGTTTACTGTTGGATAGCCACCTTATGAGATAACATGAACTTAAGTCTTTCAAGTTAAAATTCATACATTTTGGGATTTTACTTTAGATAAACATGATCATACATGGACCATTTCATTATTATTATGGAGTCAAACACATATTACGCTTTAAGTTTTGATGTTACATTTCAAAAGAGCACTATGAATGAAACAAATCTCGAGAGCGAGATGATCTCATCGGTCTGCGGTCAACTGTTCAGATTTTGCAAATGGTATGTGATTTGGGGAGTTAATCTTGAAATCAAATGTGCTAGTATATTGCATACTGCCTGTTCAATATCTGGGGCTGCATAAGAAATGTCACGAACACACTGGGAAATATGAACATTGGCATAGAATTGTCTCCAGACTTCCAGGATTTAATGATTTAAAGTTTCTTGATCTGATTGACCTAAGATTTGATAATACCGATGCTACAAGTTTAAATAACCCCAAGATTCCTAATCTAATTCCTAACATGATGACCCTGGGCTTTACAATTTCAAATTAGTTTCAAGATGTTTACTATGGCCAAGACAATTTCTGATCTGATTAAGATGAACCATTTCTGCAACCTGTATGCAAATATTTTGAAATATTACCCTTAGGTAAGCCTAAAGTTAAATATACACTAAAATTAGCTGGTTTAATGCTAGTTCACTTTGCTACATGAAATAATTGAGAGTGACCGAGAAGAGTTGATGAAGGAAGAGCGAGTGGTCAGACTGACCTTGGTCCCTGAAACATGCAAGTCGTACTACAGCAGACCCTGGAGTCTGCACACCATATAAGATAAAAGATGAAATATCAATCACAAAAAAACATAGAAAAAACAACCAGTCCCTTCAATGAAACTTCATAAAACCGCTGCAAGAAAAACATTGTCATACATGAGTTATCTCCCCTTATTTTGAATGGCTGTGATTGGGTGAAGAGAATGGTGGCACCATATATACCACGTTTTCCTTCATCGAATAACAGGATTCAACAATGAAGGAGATGTCAAACAAAATTGTCATAATCCAATACGAGATGAAATTCATGATGTTAAAAGTTAGTAATCACATCAAATCACAAACTCCTGGAAAAGATGGAGAGCAACCACGACATCAACACAACCACGACCACGACGATGTCAACAACAACAACATGTGTTGATGATCAACACGTAGTAAACCACAGGCTAAACCACAGGCTAAAATACATCATGCCGTTAGAAACGTCCAGGGGTCAATATGACCTACTAGAATGAGATTGGCATTCCCACACAGTGGCAATAGAAGCGAGAACACTTAAGATTACAACTTGGACAGATTTTGTTCATCTTCAGTTGGGAATAAACTTAGTCAAATATCTGTATTCGTGAATATTTTCTCTTTGCTGAAAAAGAGGCTTTGATTACATGGCAACCCACCAAGTATAATAAATGATTCCTGACATCGGATGTGCCACTGTAAATAGTTGTAGGATTTCAATGTGTTCATTTTTCTATTCTGTTGGAAACAATGTCATGCAGTACTACATATTTACTAGGTGAATCTTTCGATTAATATTAGATCCTAACAAACTGAAATTTTGATTAGTTTCACAAATAACCAAAATGCTTCACAATTCCGTCAAACACTTCTCGCAGAACACGACATGTGAAGTCTCACATTGTCTGTTTTGTATCACGGTAACCCACGCTTAGAAGCAAACTCATGGTTGCAAAACAATCTGAGCAAAACAAACTGAAAATCGGCTCAAACTGATATCGACATTCTAGTGAAGTGAGAGAAAATTATACACATATATTCAAATTACCATCATGTAAAATGACCAGAAAGTTATGTAATACGATGATTATCAACCATCTCATCAGATGAGATATATGTTATATACAACTGCTGCAGTAACATGGTGAAGTAGCCCCCATGCACTTTAAACATTGGCTGCTTGAAACAAATATTGGACTACTCATAACTAGCAACATAAATAAAAAACCGACTGCGCTCCTAGACTACGAGAGACTAAAGAGAGAAAGACAGAGTGAAGAGACGGACATACCTGTTGCTGCAGTCGAGTCAGGCCGCGCACCCATAGGATCTGGCCGCGGCGTCCTACCGAATCCTCGGTGGCGTTGACGCCGTCAATGTCATCTTCTGCTTCATGTTCTTCCTCATGCTTAATGCATGGGCAGGATATCCTCGGTATTGAATGCGATGGAATACTTGTTATAACCTTCAAAGCAGAGTTCAGTATCAGAATGGTACAACAAGTGAATTTGATCGACACGTACATGAGTGTGTTAGTCAGTGAATGCTGTTTTTGGTATTGAAGCTGTAGGACAAGCTAGTGGGTGATGGTGTGAGCACCATTCTGGGCACCCAGTCAGGTCCAACACTAGATCACATCCAATAACATACAATGGGTGGGAGGAGATATGGAGGATATGTGAGCGAGTATGGTTTTTACGCCTCTTTTAGCAATATTCCATTTAACGTGAGGACGCAAAGTTCCACTGCTTAGAGACATTCACCTGTCTGTGATACCCAAAAGCATAAGTCCATGTTGACAAACCAAGAATCAAAATCAAGGCAAATCTGGGATTCCAACCCACAATAATGTTCCTGCACAAAAGCCCTACAGATCAAAACTATCAATATTGAAACTAACAGCTGATCTTATCTCTGCAGCTAAAACAGCGAGTTTAGTTTTACACTGCCTTTAGCAATATTTCAGCAGGAGACACCAGAAATGGGCTTCACACATTCTACCCATATGTGTCTTTGGCGTGACGAACAAATGCTTTAACCTCTAGGCTACCCCCTGCCCCACTAAAACAGTAAATACATGAATGTAATACAACTGTAAATGTTAGGTATTCTATCGCCATCAAAAGCCCTGAGATGTGTGACTATGACCAATCTGTAACACTCACTGTAACACTGAAAGTAAATGAGGTAGACAAAAGTGATACTTACTTGCCCCCATAAAAGTGCCCCGAAACCTAAGAAGATGCACCAAAACCACTGTTCTAATGACAGCCCTTTGGTGTGAAAGGCTATTCCACCAAGCTGCACAATGAAAACCTGAAACACAAGATACCCACAATTAACACCAATCAAAGTTTCTCTCAGCTTTTATGTTTAAGAAATTACGTTATTACAACAAATTATAGTTGATATGTTCTTTTGATCACTGTAAATTTTGAGACGAGTACATGAAATGAAGGAAAACAGTTGCTGTTTTTGCAGTCATGATGAAATCATTCCTTAGATAATACAACAGTCCATATTCTGATCTGTCACCTCCGACAATCCTGTAGTCTGTCATACAGACCCTGAAGCAAGTCTAGAAAGCCCACGTAAGTCTAGAAAATGTGGCAATCTAGATTTCCACAGAAAATGAAGAAAGTCTCAAGGCTCCTTTTCATTATATGTTATTTTTTTTACTATGAGCTTTTTTCTGTAAAATATGTTCATTTCAGAGACTAGTTTTTAGTCTAACAATTCTGTTGCTAATCATGTTACACAGGACACTAAATGGCTTGATGTAAGACACGCAACTTGACTCTCATTCTGTCAAGCAGCTAGGGACTGGCCGGACCTACATTTACATACCTAGCGAGCGAGCGAGTTTAGTTTTAAGCTACTTTTAGCAATATTCCAGCAATATCATGGCAGATGACACCAGAAATGGACTTCACACATTCTACCCATGTGGGGAATCAAACCCGAGTCTTTTGCGTGATGAGTGAACGCATTAACCACCACTGGAGATTCACTGGCCCGACTGGATTTTTACCAGCCACGGGCTAGAGGGCCAGTGGCTATTTCGCACACTGTGTCAGATCTTCAGTAGTAACGTTACCTGTGCTACCATAGTTCCTATCCAGATTCCTATAAAGACAGGGTTTCTTTGTAAGCCTTCAAATACATTTCTCTGCCCATGTATTTTGCGAGCATTCATCTCATTGAAGAGTGTCATCATGACAAACGTGTTGAAAATGATGGTGAAATGTTGCGTGGGAGGGGCGTGAACTTGCTGGTTATCACGACCATCATCGATGTCAAATAAGCCGGCCCCTGAAAGAGAGACGAGCATCAACATTAGTGTTTTCATTTGTTGTTGGTGTGGTTTGTTTGTTGTTTAACGCCGTAGTCAGCAATATTCCACCTATATGGCGGCGGTCTGTAAATAATCGAGTCTGGACTGGACAAACCAGTGATCAACATCATGAGCATCGATTTACACAACAGGGAAACGATGACATGTACCAACCAAATCATCGAGCCTGACCACCCGATCCCGTCAGTAGCCTCTTACGATAAGCATGGGTTGCTGAAGACCAATTCGAACCCGGACCTTCACAGGGTTAAAATCTGGGACCCATCTCACAAACAGATCTCATCAGACCCCCCAAAAAATTTGACAAGAGAGATTTGAACATACATACAGGCAATCTGATACCATATGGCGTTATTCCCCGTTCATCAACTTACCACCAAATAGAAGAGTAAAGATGACTGCAAGCTGATATACAGAGTGACCAACAATGTTTTTATACATGGTTTTGGAGATGAGAGCTTTTGTTCTGCCATATGGTTTACGATCTAGGAGTTCTTTGCTGGGAAGTTCGGTAGCGAGAGCGAGGGAAGCTAGTGTGTCCATGATGAGATTCACCCACAGCATCTGGATAGCACGGAGTGGACTGTTCTGTAAGAGAAAATATAGACTATTAGCACCAGTGATACGATGTTTATCACCTGGGATATATTCCACGTCTGTGAATGCTTCATGCACATGTCTGCACTTGTACAGCTATATTCAGGTGCATTCAAACAAATCCCTTTTTGATAAAATACTGTGAGTACGATTACAGATAACAAGGTCTCAGATTTAAATTGAATTAAATTAAACTACATAAAATTTAATGTCAACGCACCTTTTCTTTGAAAAGTATACTTGTAGTGAGCAATATCTGTTTTCCTTCAATAGTTTTGACATGGATTGTGAGATATTCCAAATTATGTACAAATACAATGAAACCCTATTGATCTGGGTTCTAATCCCAGGAACAGTGGTCCCGATTGGCAGACTTCTAGACATTAGTTGGGACCAAATATTCCAGGGATATGACGTATAGGTAATTGAGTCAGGACCAAACAATTCACTTACTGTCACTATGACCATTGGTCAACACAACTACAATACGATGACATGCATCACGTCAGCTGATCAACCCATTAGTCGCCTCTTACGACAAACACTAGTTACTGTTGTTTGTTTTTGTTATTAAAGGTAGCACTCAGCAATATTCCAGCAGTACGATGGCTGCCTGTAAACAATTGAGTTTGGACCAGACAATCCAGTGACTGATTGCATTGATGGGATACGATGTAGATCTGACCACTCAATCCCGTTAGTTGCATCTCATGGAAAGCAGGGGTTAGTGAATTCTAAACAAGATATTCATTGGGTAGCTCCTGGGCATCTATCAAGAGTTGAGAATGTGTATGTAACATGATACTTAGTTCTTACATTGATTGTGCAGGCGCCAAAGAAGGCGACCAGAACAGCAACCACATTAACAGTCAGCTGAAACTGCAAGAACTTGGCGATGCTATCATAGACATTACGGCCCCACATGACGGCCTTGACGATGCTGGTGAAGTTGTCGTCGGTCAGGATGATGTCGGAAGCCTCCTTAGCTACATCAGTTCCAGAGATACCCTGCAAATTAGACCAAACCATTCTCAGACGTAATACAGTATCAGGATATTCTTTTTTTTAATTATCACAATAACTCAGTGTGCCTAGTGGCTGCAAGAGTTGTATACTCCCCAGGGAGTTGAGATTGATAATACGATGTGCCGTTGAGCTTGACATCCAGTGATAGAGGGAAAAATATACCAGTGCCTTGAGCAAGCACTAGTTGCCTGGATATGTGCGCTATATAAATATCATATTATAATAATAATAAGAAGAAGAAGAAGAAGAAGAAGAAGAAGACATGTTTTGTCTCTCCAGATGTGATAAGCAAAACCAAGTGATCATAAGGAGATTACCATGGCAAATCCAACATCAGCTTTCTTGAGAGCAGGGCCGTCATTTGTTCCATCTCCTGTTACCGCGACAACCTCTCTGTTAGCGTTGACCTTACTGTCGATGATGCCCTTGACGAGAGTGTACTTATCCTGGGGTGAAGATCTGGCTAGAACACGGAGCTTGGGCCACACCTGGTCAAACAGGTCTTGTCTCACCTGCAAAAGGTAGGTCAGTTTCATGAAGCAAATTTCAGATGCTGGGAATGTTTATTCATGCATTCAGATGAGACAATCAAACCTGAGCAAACACCTTAACCACTAGGCTAACTCATTGTGCCTGAACCACGTTGGAAAGTGATTGCGTATAGTTTTACACCACTTTTAACAATATTCAAGTAACATCATGGTGGAAATGTAACCATGTGGGGAATAGAACCGGGGTTTTGGTGACGAGTGAACACCTTCACTATAAGGCTACACCACCGCCCCTAGTGGTCAGTGACTGACGAAGAGTCTGTTGTGTAGTAATGGACTCCTTCACGACCATCAGATTGCCCAACAACCCCTTTAATTCAGACAGAGCTACAATATCGCTTTACTGAATATGTTAATAACAGTTGTTTTTAATTGTAATGAACTGATTTTAAATCACATAAAACTGACTTATGCTCGCCAAAAAAACAACTTTATATCAAACAATTATCTCCCTTGTACAGTGTACCAAAAGACGTTTGAGGCCAGTGAAGCAAGTACATTTCAGTGGCATCATATGGCTTCTTTTAGCTGAAATTTTATCCCCCTTTTACTGAGGGCCAAAAGATATTGAGTGAGTGAGTGAGTTTAGTTTTACGCCACACTCAGCAATATCCCAGCTATATGGCGGCGGACTGTAAATAATCGAATCTGGACCAGACAATCCAGTGATCAACAGCATGAGCATCGATCTGCTGAATTGGGAACTGATGACATGTGTCAACCAAGTCAGCGAAACTGACCACCCGATCCCGTTAGTCGCCTCTTACGACAAGCATAGTCGCCTTTTATGGCAAGCACATGGGTTGCTGAAGACCTATTCTACCCTTGATCTTCACAGGTCCAAAAGATATTGAGACCACTGAAGCTCTTGGTATCACTTTTAGTACAATTCAGCGGTATCATATGGCTTTAAGATCTGAGCTGATCAGACTGAACACAATGCTACCACTTACTTATACTGTGTAATTCTCCAAACCACAAAGGGGCACGCACGCACAACACAACATTATTACCCCGCATAACCCAAGCATAGAAGGTTATAGTCATATGACTTATCTCACCGGGTACCCATTTTCTGCTGGGTGAACAGAGGCAATTTTGAACAAACTGACTTGCCTAAGGTGAGACTACATGTGTTTGGTTGTGGTGCAGGACTGAAGTCAGGAGACTTAATCTATTGTGGACTAGTGGCTAAAGTCACTGGCTGCTTGTACTGTACCTCTCCTGTAGCTGGGTCCTTGATGCGGTTGTTGAATTCCTTGCCCTCCATTACCAGGAAGTCTTCTCAAGGGGGAATGATGCAGGGGAATGATGCCACACTTGGGCGATAGATCGAGCAGTATGGACACAGGTTCACGCGTTGTCGCCGGTCACCATCCTCACAGTGATGCCTGCCTTCTGACAGCTTTTGATGGCAGCCGGAACCTACAATGCAACATCTAGAGTTGAGCAAGTGTGCAAGTATGGACACAGGTGACCTGGTTCCTTTGTGTGAAGCCCATACTGGACCTGGGATTAGACCTTGTGATTTCTCTAAACCCGATTATCAAATTGGATCAGATGTCAGGCCTTTAGGCAGTACTGTTACTTCTGGCTTGGTGGATTCTATTTCCTTAACCAACTCAGGCAAACTGATCTTCTCCAGGTAGCCAGCTACTACTACAAAGTTCCTGGACAAATCTCTGCATATGGTGCTGAGAAACCAAGAAACAATGAAGCTGAATCCTTGATTAAAACCAACATCACCATCCACTCACTCACAATGAAGATTTAGATCTTGTATTAAATCCCGAACAGGACGAAGCTAGGGTTCAAAAGGTTCATCGATCTCTTTGAGCCTTGCTTACTTATGCATGTAAAGAGCGCCACTGTATCGAGATTGTTCGTATGGATCATTAGGCTGCATTTTGTAGAAATGTGCTCCAAATGTAGAATGGCGCTGATTACAGCTTTCATTTCTAGACTGTTTATATGGAATGATGCCACACTTGGAAGCGATAGATCGAGCAGTGTTCACGTTGTCGCCGGTCACCATCCTCACAGTGATGCCTGCCTTCTGACAGCTTTTGATGGCAGCCGAACCTACAATGCAACATCTAGAGTTGAGCAAGTGTGCAGTATGGACACAGGTGACCTGGTTCCTTTGTGTGAAGCCCATACTGGACCCGGGATTAGACCTTGTGATTTCTCTAAACCGATTATCAAATTGGAGCAGATGTCAGAAAACTTCCCACATCATATTAACAAATTTCCCAATTCATGTTAGGCAGTACTGTTACTTTACGGCTTGGTGGATTCTATTTCCTTAACCAACTCAGGCAAACTGATCTTCTCCAGAGTAGCCAGCTACTACTACAAAGTTCCTGGACAAATCTCTGTATGTGGTGCTGAGAAACCAAGAAACAATGAAGCTGAATCCGTGATTAAAACCAACATCACCATCCACTAACTCACAATGACCACAGGGCCAGCTGTGACCTCCGAGCTTCATCCACATTCTAGTTAGGATGAGTCATACTTAATCTATATCCTTTTTTATAAATCAGGTTGGTAAATATGCACAGTTCTACCCCTCAGAACATTTTTCCGCATTACAATTTCACAAATCTTCCAAAATGGTTGTCTCCCCTTACCTCATCTCGGACTGGATCCTCGATACCCACGACACAGATGCAGGTGAGTCCTTGTACCACAGCTTCCTCGTTATCCCAGTCAACTTCACCCTCGATCTTCACCATGTTCTCACCGACATTATCTGGTACAGGAGGAACAACAACAATGAGTGAGTGAGTGAGAATAGTTTAACGCTGCTTTTAGCAAATATTCCAGCAACATCACGGCACAAACAGGCTTCACACATTGTACCCATGTGGGGAATCGAATCTTGGTCTTCGGCATGATGAGCCAACGCTTTAACCATAGGCTACCCTACCTCCCAACAACAACAACAGATGTCCATGAGAATCATAGTCCACTAAGAGGTATAATTTTACGTAAAACAATGTGCTTCACAGAACAATGAAAACCAATGTCCACCAGTGACTGAGTTAAGTTTTATGCCACTTTTAGCAATTAATGCAGGGACCACAAAAAATGTAGAATAACTAAAACATGAGAATAAAAGTCACCACTACGTGATGGTGGAATTTTTAGAAGCAAAGGGAAAGACATAACATTTGCAAAATTATTTTGAGGATTTTATTTTACTTCAGGACAAAAAACTTTTACACCCAATCAGAACACTTTCCATCAATGTAAAACTTATTGCCTGTTTCTAGGTCAACAGTTGTATGACGCAACATTTCTTTAACTGACTGACTGACTGAGTATGGTTTTACGCTGTTTTTAGCAATATTCCAGCAATATCATGGCGGGGGACACCAGAAATGGGCTTCACAAATTGTACCCATGTGGGGTATCGAACCCGGCCTTCGGCGTGACGAGCGAACCCTTTAACCACTAGGCTACCCCACCGCCCCACATTTCTTAAACACCTGTTGTCAGCGCTCTAAGCACCTACCTCTGACAAAGTCCTTATAGGCGACACAGATAGTACGCAGGCCATTACTGGCCATGGGTTCAATGACTTGATGGACCATCTCCTCCGCTTCACGGGCAGTGAAGGCTTTCGCCTGACCATCACTGTCCAAGATGAAGTCACATCTGGAGAGACAAAACATGTCTTATTATGACACCATTGATGCAATCAAAGTTCAAGTGCAACCTATAGAACCATGGATATAGATGGAATTATTTTCACAGATTTTCAAATCAGAATTACTAAATATTCTGTCCATACAGAATTAATGTTGGGAAACTTCCATAAATGATCTATCCACCTGTTAATATCATGTAGTTTTCAGGAAAGTAACATTAACTAAAAGCAAGAACTATATCATCTGAACATGTGAGTTTGGTTTGCATCACATTTGGTATTCTTCCAGCTTTTTAAAGAGTGGCACCAAGAACTGAGTTTGCAGTAGGGAATAACACCTGAGTATTAGGTTTGGTTTGGTTGTTTAACTCCTTACTCAGCAATATTCCAGCTTCATGGCGACAGTCCGTAAATAATCGAGTCTGGGCCAGACAATCCTGTGATATGAATATGACATGTGTATACCACGTTTGCGAGCCTGACCAACCGTTAGTTGCTTCTTTTGACATGCATGGGTTGCTGAAAACCAATTCTAACCTGGATGTTCATGGGTCTGAGTATTAGGCGTCATAAGCTAATGATTTAACCAGAGGACCATTCCACCATACAAGAATAACTGTAATAATATTTCCATCAGCCGTGGAATCCCAGCATGAAGTAACTGATGGACTCACTTTTTGAGCACAATTTCTGAAGCTCCTTTTGAGAAGAGTCTGAAGCCATTCTCCAGTTTGATGACAGTGCTCATGGACTTGCGGACAGAGTTGAAGGTGTACACTTTGACCAAGGCGTCCTCGGGGACGTCCTCTCTCACTGATTCATACGACTGACCCAAGTCCCTGACAAACCCCAGCAAAGCACACTCTGTCTTGTTTCCAACCTGTTTCGGTAAACCACCTTCATCTGCCGGCTGAAATAAACAGTCACAGAACATGGTCATTATATGTATCCTACTACAGTTTGCGAGTCTTGTGACTGGGCAACATTTCTCTTTTCTTTTAGGAAGAGTGGGTGAGTTTAGTTTCACGCCACCTTCAGCAATATTCCAGCTATATGGTGGCGGTCTAAATAATCGAGTCTGGGCTAGACAATCCAGTGAGAAACAGCATCAGCATCAATCTACACATTTGGGATATGATGACATGTGTCAACCAAGTCCACGAATCTGACAACCTGATCCCGTTAGTCGCCTCTTACGACAAGCCTGGGTTACTGAAGATCAAGTTCAAGATGATTGACACTCAGCAGACTCAGAATTGTTTCGACTCCTTCATGCTGAGCACCAGTCGGGGCAACAAAAAGTACCATGTTTTCAAGTCTTAAATATGGAGGGCTGCCTGAAAAGTTAAGATTGGTCAGGGCCTCCTTTGACAAAGCACTAAGGTGATCATAAGTCACTAAGGTAACGGACCGCCTCCGTGGTGTAGTGGTTAGAGCGTCCGCCTGGAGAGCGGAAGGTCGCGGGGTTCGATCCCCGACTGCGTCATACCAAAAGACGTTAAAATATGGTACTTGTTGGTCCCTGCCTGGCAATCGGCATTAATGGGTACAACAAGGACTGGTCGGCTCGGAGTCAGTATAATGTGTCTGAGTGGGGTATTCATGCTTCACTGTGGCATGGTACCTCAGTGGGCTAGCACTAGCACTATAAAACCACCGTAAGTCTGGGCTAGTACAAGCAGCCGCACATACACACGCATGCACGTCGTCATATGAGCGAAATATTCTCAAGCACGATGTAAAACCCACTTTCACCTCACCTCACCTCACCAAGGTAACCTTAATGTAATGTTAAAGAATGGGAGTTAAGGTTAACCTTAGTAAAGGTTGGTTTGTGAAAGGTGCCCCAGATCTGCATGTAGAGTGCTACTGTATCTGAATTAAATATCTCGATGAGACTTGCAGCTATTACAATGCAGGGAGTACGATTTCATGTCTTTTTAAACAGTATTCCAGCACCATCGCACCAGGAGAAACCATGGATTCCACTTATTGTGCCCATGTGAAGAATCAAACCCATTCCTTCTATGTGATAAGCAAGCACTTGTACCACAAGGCTACTCCAATGCCCAGCAACTCACCAGCAACTTGGATGTGTAACCACTGTTGATGGAAATAGAACGCACAGTGAGCTCCACAAGAGATTGAGTAAGACTTGAACTCGGCGTTTCCTTGTAATGTTTTCCTGAAGAGAAACATCAACTTTAAGTAAGATTATTTTACATTTGATCAAGTTCACTTCAGCTCTTCATATCCTGGAAACTTTAAAAAGAAACCCGGTCCCCGACAGTCAAAATGTAAAAAAAAATCGATTTTGGGCAAACTTGAAATTTTTTAAGTGCATAAAATTCAATATCAATCATCATTATCATTCAAACATGGTCACTGCTGAAGCATACGCACCACCCAGGAAGCTCTGAACGACTGTCATTCTGTTTGTTGTGAGTGTGCCTGTCTTGTCTGAGCAGATGGCTGTCGCGTTACCCATCGTCTCGCATGCATCCAAGTGACGCACCAAGTTGTTGTCGTGCATCATTTTCTGTAATAATGAGCGAATAAGTAAGTTTTTTTGCCACTTTTCCCAATATTCCAACAATATCACGGAAGGGAACACCAGAGATGGGCTTCACACAATGTACCCATGTGGGGAACCGAACCCGGGTTTTCAGCGTGACGAGGGTACGGTTTAACCATAAGGCTATCACTGCCCCCTTGTCAAGAGATTAGTTTACATAACATGCATCAGTAAAGTAAACTTGACCGACTTAAGAAAATAATGGCTACTGAGGGAACTTTTTTTCTTTAATGCCGCACTCAGCAATATTCCAGCTATATGATGTTGGTAAGTAAATAATCCAGTGATCAACACCATGAGATTGATCTACGCAACTGGGATAGCGATGACATGTGTCAACCAAGTCAGTGAGCCTGATCACCCCAAGCCAGTTAGTCGCCTCTTACGACAAACATGGGTTACTGAAGATCAATTCTAACCAGGATCTTCACGGGTGGAAACGTGGAGGGAAAGCCTCAAGTGACGAGGTGTGAGACATTACCTTAACAGAGTAAGCAAGAGCAAGCGTAACAGCAAGTGGAAGCCCCTCTGGCACAGCAACTACCAGCACAGTGACACCGATGATGAAGTGGTTGACAAACAGCTCAAGATAACGTCCTGTCCGTGTCGATGTCCATTCCCTCTTTTCGATGAGAAACTCTTGGATACAAAACTTGAGGATCAGGATGAGGACCGTCAGAACGGCAATGAATGTACCTGAAACATACATAGTCAGTCAGAACGGACAGAGCAATTCTACAACCTATGTCTACATATACATCAAACAATCAACAATTAGTTGAAGCTTAACACGTGAATTAATTCTGCAGGAACGGGCTAACATCCTTAAATAAGACAGGGAGGAATATGGCCGACTAGATATTACCTCCACAGCTTCAGATTGAGTTAGGTTTGACTACATCTGATTTGTTTGCTGTTTAAACATCACACACAGCAATATTCCAGCTATATGATGGCACCCTGAATATACCCGAGTTTGGACCTGACAATTCAGTGATTACTGCTGTGAGAATAGACCTTCGATGACATGCGACAGACTGTCAAAAGAGTGAGTGAGTGAGTGAGTGAGTGGGTATGCTTTTATGCCGCTTTTAGCAATATTCCAACAATATGTACCCATGTGGGAATTGAACTCGGGCCTTCCACCATGGACGAGCGAATGCTTTAACCACTAGGCTACCCCAAAGCTCCCTGACAGAGCAGAACACCAAACACAAGTTCAAACCTGCATATCCTATTTGAATGGCGAGACGAGTGAGTTTGCTCTGTAACACAGATTTTTCTTTGCGAGAAACTTTCTTCTTCTCCTCTTTGATGACCTCCTCTGGAACCTTCTCGTCCACTGGTGGCAGAGGAGCTTTGTTCGGGACATGTTTGTTGACAGTGGTATTGTGAGAGTTTCCTGTAGGTGCGTTGGTAGTGTTCATCTGAATATCTGAAAACCAACAGCCATTTTTGAAATCAGAACCAACAAACCTGGAGGAAAATGACCCTATTTCTTTCATAAAACTTCACAAAATAGCCCTGCAAATATTCCTCAAGACAGAAGAATGACATAAAGAAAGAAAGCTAAATTAAATTTGTACACAATATTCATACACTCACAAAAAAAAATTCATATTGACGTTTGTCATGCGTTTTACAAAATTACTCGCTAACACATTTAGTCTGGAGAACCATGCACAAGGAGATTCATATCGTCTACTATAACTTGAGGAAAACAGTATCAATATCAGTAAGGATACAAACCATGGGACTTAAAAAGGAACAAAATTGCAGTGATTACGGCCACAGAGGTCGGCCAAGTGCAGATAACAGTGTAAAGAGAGACGAGCATGTTTCGAGATTTTAGTCAAGTATACCGAGAACACTATTTTATCTCCTAGACCGTCCCCACTGCTTATATCCTACCACTAGTGTAAGCAATATTAAACATCATGCTGATAGTGAAATTACTTCATGTCTGCTTTGTTAGATTCCCCTATTAATAAAGCATATTGAAACCGTGCCCTTGGGCTATTCTGGTTTTGTGAACAGATGTCACAAATTTTGTTGATTGACATTTGAAAGCCATGGTAGAAATTCAATGCATTAATAACTTTTGAACATGTTCATGGAGTATTTCCCAATTGATGGTAGAAGTCATTACAGTTGTAATTTCAACTGGGCTTTTTGGGGTGTGTGTGGATGTGAATGTGTCTTAGTTTCAATTGCTAGCTCACTGGTACACAGCCTACTCTAAGACAAATATTCCTTGTTTATCCCCTTAACGCTCAAACCTAGGTCTTCAGTCGGATAAGCAAACACTTTCCCCACTAGGCTACCCTACTGCCCATATATCTCAACATAATGCACTCCTTAATCTATAGCAGTTTATGTTTGTGCAATTTATGTGTAAATAGAAATGTTTCATTTAACAAATGCGTAATAATTCTAAGAATTCTTGCTGACATGGTTTTAAACAACAAGTGGATAGCACGGAAGGTACATATACATACTTGTGTTTGCTACAGAAAATGCAAGGTACAGAAAGGCCTCATAAAGAACAACTGCCAATAAATTCAGGATGAAACTTCATCAAACTGCATTTACAGAATTTTGTTTCAAATTTGACATTCCACAAAATGAAAAAATTCCACTGAAAATATTCACTCAAATATTTTAAATGTTCAAAAATGAATTTTGGAATAAATGGCTACTGGCAAGTTTTCTTCTGAGACTAAGGAGCAAAGGCAAGACAGTGAGAAGGCAGGACGTATAATCTACAGAACAAAAGAGGCACTTTAATCAAGCTAGATGACAGATTTAGTTCTTGTTTAGTCTATTCTACACCTTAGCTCATTGCGCTTTCACATCATGAGACATTCGTCCTTTTCGTAGAGTACAAGCGATTGTGCTGAAAGGTCAGTGCTCGTTGAACTGTTAAGCCAGAGAGTTTTAAGTGATAGAATAGATTTAGACAGTGGTGGCCGTTACTGTAGACCATTGTGAGACAGTTGAGAAATGGTGTTACAAGTTAGAGAGTTTTCAGCAAGAGACAGAATGAGATGAGGTCTGGTCACACCTCAAGAGCCATGACAGAAGCATATAGCCCGGGTTCCTAGCAACGTCTGTATCAACCTGCGTCACAGTAAATACTGATGGCTTGTATATCCTGACCGAAAAATATCTTCACCCCACCTCCCTCCCCCAAATTGACACAATTTACAAACCCCATGAATTGTCAAAATGTGGACCTTAAAATGTGAAATTCAATTATTGAATACAGAAAAAAATTTAGCCTGAATTTAATCAAACCACTATTTTTTATTAAGATTTTATGTGAAAAGATTATTTTAACACAAAGAAACAATGAGGATGGTATTGATTCAAACAAAACTATCGTTAAAAGGTATCCATATGAGTGTATTGGGACGTCTTCTGGCTTAGGACAATGAGGACACCTACAAGTATATGAGCTATAAGTATCTGCATGGTCGTGTGACCAGACCGAGTTAGCGCTATGCTTCACACAAACGGAGGCGGCGATGACGGCGGCGGCACCCTTGCAGGTCCAACCACGCGTACAGAAGAACAACACAGCTCATCAACGTACCCACTTTTGCATCTGCCTCATTAGAGAGCACTAGGAAAATAAAAGAAATTAAATTAACATTCAAACCAAAACGCTAACACTGCACAATCTATAAATCAGTATTTAAGAAGAATTCCATTGCTGGTAGCTCAGCTGAAATCAAGATGTGCAACTTTGGCCTACTTTACAAAACAGTTTGTTCTGTGATATACAGTCTAAGTGCTTGTACACGCATTTCAAAAATGAAAAAATCAAGTGCTTGATGTCATGTTCCTAAAACAAAACACATACAATGCTACCATGCTAATTACAATCCAAGATTAACGGACCAAAATACATCATGCTTCTTGCTTTTACTGTTCTGTACAATCACATGCGTAGTGTATTAATGATTATATCATCTATCGTAAGGCAACTTCACACAGTGCCTGACAGCTCTTCACTGTAGAGAGTTGTGGCACGTTCTGTGAATTTATTCAATGACTATAAAAAAAATCACATCCTCCCGAAAATACTTACGGATAATTTGGTCTTAAAAAACATAAACATCACTTGATGCTGTGTTTCATGCAATAAATCGTAATGTATTAACAACTAAACTATTTATCTGCTTGAAACAGAATTCTTCTCAAATTCCTGAAATGGTCTTGGTCTGTAAGTCCCATCACCTCTAAGCTGGCATACAAGAGACTGATACAATCAAAGAAATCTTTTTCCTGGTCGCCTGGTTAATGTGTTATTTTAAGAAATCAAAATCACCAAATGGCAAATATAAATATTTATAATGCTTTTCAAGAACTGCTGCCTGAAAACAGTAACCTTTGTAACTTACCTTAAATTCATTTCTATTTTAAGATCAAAGCATGAAATCAAGCCCTCTTCTGCAGTTTTCCATCAAAAAACAAGTCATAAATATACACCAAGGGTACCAAATTTTCAGCTTCGTCTCATCAGAAAAAAAAGAGATCCTTTCCTTATATCAAACTTTTGTATGCAAGGTTTTCCTGAATTAACATATTACATTTTTATTCTCAAATTTGTTTTATATAACCCACAAAATTTGGCACATTATACTCACAATATATAATAATATAAGTCAAATTCATTTCAAGATCTATAAAATTTGAAAACAAAAGAATATTCTGAAACCAAAAAATGTCAAGGACTAATCACAAACCTGTCAGCTGTGGAGGAACATTTTGATAATACAACAGTACTACATCAGGAGATGGCAACAGTAACATGCAAACCACATCCACAGGTCTCATGCATATATACCAGAAGGTAACATTGCTAAACTCAAAATATGCATGAGTTGGACTGACGACATTAGGAAAGGAAAAATGACATGGACAAAATTTGGAGTAATATCTGCAAAAATACAACATGTGTTTGATGCATCGGAGAACTATCAAAGAAACAGCTCCCAGTTTGAATAATTCCATAAATTAAAACTTGAAATTATTTTCAAATGCTAGGTTCCTAGACCATCAGAAATAGGCATTAACTTTAGTATGATATTTCAATTTACAAGTTAGTTATGGAACAGTTAGAGATAGAATAGAAACATGATTGAACTGTTGTGAAATAAAGTTTGAAACATTTGTTATATGGAACAGAAAATTTAACAATGTCAAATAATTTATGACATATATACTCTTCAAAGAATGTGTTAATATTGTCATATTTCTTCATTGCCACAGGATAATTCTATAGAAGAATATCTGCAACAAAGTCAAGTTCCTGATGCATCCAGGGGAGGCAACTCCAACAACACCACAAGACAAAATCAACATTATTTATCGGATGACAAAGAGTGAGCACACAGACAGACAGACAGAATGAGTGGAGTGGATGACAGAGTGAGTTGGCGGACTTACATGGTTCGGTCTGTCCCAAATTGTTTGATCGGGGTCCTGAAAGTTAGAAAGTTAGCACATACGATATCAGTGATCATTAGTAGCAAGCACATGGCCATACACAGCCAAGTTAGTCAATACCATACATGCTCCAAAGGTTAAAAACGGGACAAAAGGCACAGCAAAAACCTGTCCAAAACTTGACAAAACACAATACTTCCCAAAATGTTCGACCATTTTGATTTTGATTTGATTTCGGACAGAATTTACTCTGATAATGTGGTTTCTTTCTGGCGAGCAGTTATGGTATTTCAACCTCATCCCTGATATTTCACATGCTTGCCTTGTCATTGGTCGATTCATGTTGCAGAATCGCCTTAATTAGCTGATCTGCGGGACTGAATCTCCTCGTGTGCCACTGACCACCGACTCTGTCCTTGGCCTTCAGTGATATACGTATGTTCGCCTGGTGGTGAATGCTCGTGTAATGGCCAATGGCTATGCAGGGTGCTCAAGCTTATTCATGTCTAATAATGTGAAAATATTTTTGGAATATTGAAAAAATTATCTGTATAAATTAACATTTTACATGGCTATGGACATTATTCTCCACGTGATTAAATCAAAAACATTATCCTTCAACAACTTTAATTCTGAAGATCGAGTTCAAACATATTTGCTGCATAGCTTGTGTGCGTGCGGTTGTTTGCAGTATAGTGACATTTGCCAGAGACACCATGCCATGGTTTAGCATGGATACCCCACACAGACACAGTAAAGGGTAGGGGTGGGTATTGCAGAGAATTTTCATATTGCGATATATTGGGATGCGGAAGCAAATATTGCGATATGTATTGCAATATATTGCAAGGATTTTTTTTAACAAAAACTACTTATAATCGAGTTAATGCTTGATTTTAAAGCAAAAACACAACAAAATCACTATGATTGATTAACCTTTTATAAAAACTTTTAATCATGACAAAATAAAAATGTAAGTAACATTTGGCACTAATGAAACAGGGAAAAGAACAATTAAAAAAACGGAAATATCCGAAGATTTCCGACTGTTACAAGGTTTTCCGATTGCATGTCAAAATACTGGTTTTCGATCAGCGTATCGCAATACGTATCGTTTTCATGTCTGAACTGGTAAATACCGGTAAACCGGTTATATTGCGCAGCCCTAGTAAAGGGACTGATCCTCGCATTATCCCTTTATGCTGAACAAGAGGCAAGGTAACAACAAGAACCATATTCTAACATCTTCAGGAATGAAGCGGCTAAGATATGTAAATATTTCACAGGCTTGTATTCATATTGTTTCTTTGATCTCAACTCAAGATTCCAGGCTTCTGTTTCAATGTACATGGTATCTTAACCTTTAAGCTAAAGAGTCATTTTTACATGAATCAGATCAGCATAAAAGCAATGGCCTTAAAAAGAAAAGAATGATGTATAATTATAGGATATGGCTGCAACTTATTCACTTAGAAATATTAACTAGTTCAATGACAATCTAATCCTTAATAGCTTAACTGAAGTAAAGTTAAACAATTTAACTCAAATTATATCTGCCGAATGGATTTACAGTTACAGTTAATCCCCCAAAATGTGCTTGGATGATGTGTTAGGTCAGTGAATTACTTTTAGAAAAATAAAATCAGGTACAGACCACATCTACACAGACGGCAGAGGAACAAGACAGATACTATAGATTGGGTAGGTGACAGAGAAGGGCACTTCATTGCGTCACTACAACTGAAAATACCAAACGTTTATTGCTGGTACTTTACCTGTAACGGCTACGAGCTTCACGTCTACTGTGTGTGCAGGGTAAGAGAAATTTGTCATATAGAAACTGTGAGGTGTAAGCCATGATGGATGTGGTGATGTCTGGAGTTAGTAGGGTGAAACACCGCCTTCAACTATTTTAGCTACATAACGGCGGTCAGCTACCTGCGGGGCTGGTTCCAAAGTGAAGCAGGTTCTACTGTTTGCACTTCGGTGAAACCCATGAAAATGATATGGATCTGGGATCTGAACCCAGAATATCCAGGTGGCCAAGGGACACAACTCTGCACAGCAAGTTGTAGAGTCCAAGACCACTGGAACTTCAATGTGTAATGAAGAACACGTGGAAAATGGTGTCTACTATATAGATGAATGGGATTATACTAGTACAAATATTTACCAGAGTATTCTACAGCTGAAAACATAGCAAAAACCACTTTTCAGAGTCCATGTTGCGGTTGTAATTGTGAAAATGATGAAGACACGTATATCACAGGAGATCCAAGAAAATGCATTTCCACTAGTTTAATAATTAATCAAAATATGAATCTTAAACAAAAACACAATGTTTAATGATGACATACAATTTGGATAATGGCTTCTAAAATCAGAGACTGTTTTTCACCAAAAGTTACCTGAGAAAGTGCTACTACATGCAGGGCTGCAACGGTCCACTGTGAAACTACTTTATTTCAAAAACCAGGTTGAGTGAGTGAATAAATATTATTTAGCACCACTGTTAATGGCTGGGCAAGAGAAAAAACAGTGGCTGATTTCTAAAAGCATCAATACAAGTTGTCTGTTTTCAGTGTTTCTACGATGTCACAGTCTACAGTGTCTGTATGATGTCAGTGTCTGCAGTGTCTGTATGATGTCAGTGTCTGTATGATGTCAGTGTCTGCAGTGTCTGTATGACTTCAGTGTCTGCAGTGTCTGTATGATGTCAGTGTCTGCAGTGTCTGTATGACATCACAGTCTGCAGTGTCTGTATGACATCACAGTCTACAGTGTCTGTATGACATCACAGTCTACAGTGTCTGTATGATGTCAGTGTCTGCAGTGTCTGTATGACATCACAGTCTGCAGTGTCTGTATGACGTCAGTTTCTGCAGTGTCTGTATGACATCACAGTCTGCAGTGTCTGTATGATGTCAGTGTCTGCATGACATCACAGTCTGCAGTGTCTGTATGACATCAGTGTCTGCAGTGTAAGTATGACGTCAGTGTCAGCAGTGTCTGTATGACATCACAGTCTACAGTGTCTGTATGACGTCACAGTCTGCAGTGTTTGTATGACATCACAGTCTGCAGTGTCTGTATGACATCAGTGTCTGCAGTGTCTGTATGACGTCAGTGTCTGCATGACATCACAGTCTGCAGTGTCTGTATGATGTCAGTGTCTGCAGTGTCTGTATGACGTCAGTGTCTGCAGTGTCTGTATGACATCAGTGTCTGCAGTGTCTGTATGACATCAGTGTCTGCAGTGTCTGTATGACGTCAGTGTCTGCAGTGTCTGTATGATGTCAGTGTCTGTATGACGTCAGTGTCTGCAGTGTCTGTATGACATCACAGTCTGCAGTGTCTGTATGACGTCAGTGTCTGCAGTGTCTGTATGACATCACAGTCTGCAGTGTCTGTATGACGTCAGTGTCTGCAGTGTCTGTATGACATCACAGTCTGCAGTGTCTGTATGACATCACAGTCTGCAGTGTCTGTATGACGTCAGTGTCTGCAGTGTCTGTATGACATCACAGTCTGCAGTGTCTGTATGATGTCAGTGTCTGCAGTGTCTGTATGACATCAGTCTACAGTGTCTGTATGATGTCAGTGTCTGCAGTGTCTGTATGACATCACAGTCTGCAGTGTCTGTATGATGTCAGTGTCTGCAGAGTCTGTATGACGTCAGTGTCTGCAGTGTCTGTATGATGTCAGTGTCTGTATGATGTCAGTGTCTGCAGTGTCTGTATGACATCAGTGTCTGCAGTGTCTGTATCACATCAGTCTACAGTGTCTGTATGATGTCAGTGTCTGCAGTGTCTGTATGACATCATAGTCTGCAGTGTCTGTATGATGTCAGTGTCTGCAGTTTCTGTATGACGTCAGTGTCTGCAGTGTCTGTATGACATCACAGTCTACAGTGTCTGTATGACTTCAGTGTCTGCAGTTTCTGTATGTCAGTGTGTGCAGTGTCTATGTCAGTGTCTGCAGTGTCTGTATGACATCAGTCTACAGTGTCTGTATGACGTCAGTGTCTGCAGTGTCTGTATGACGTCAGTGTCTGCAGTGTCTGTATGACGTCAGTGTCTGTATGATGTCAGTGTCTGCAGTGTCTGTATGACATCAGTGTCTGCAGTGTCTGTATGACATCAGTCTACAGTGTCTGTATGATGTCAGTGTCTGCAGTGTCTGTATGACATCATAGTCTGCAGTGTCTGTATGATGTCAGTGTCTGCAGTGTATGTATGATGTCAGTGTCTGCAGTTTCTGTATGTCAGTGTGTGCAGTGTCTATGTCTCAGTCTACAGTGTCTGTATGACGTCAGTGTCTGCAGTGTCTGTATGACGTCAGTGTCTGTATGACATCAGTGTCTGCAGTGTCTGTATGACATCACAGTCTGCAGTGTCTGTATGATGTCAGTGTCTGCAGTTTCTGTATGTCAGTGTCTGCAGTTTCTGTATGTCAGTGTCTGCAGTGTCTGTATGACGTCAGTGTCTGCAGTGTCTGTATGACGTCAGTGTCTGCAGTTTCTGTATGATGTCAGTGTCTGCAGTGTCTGTATGACATCAGTGTCTGCAGTGTCTGTATGACTTCAGTGTCTGTATGATGTCAGTGTCTGCAGTGTCTGTATGATGTCAGTGTCTGCAGTGTCTGTATGACATCAGTGTCTGCAGTGTCTGAATGATGTCAGTGTCTGCAGTGTATGTATGACATCAGTGTCTGCAGTGTCTGTATGATGTCAGTGTCTGCAGTGTCTGTATGATGTCAGTGTCTGCAGTGTCTGTATGACGTCAGTGTCTGCATGACATCAGTGTCTGCAGTGTCTGCAGTGTCTGTATGACATCAGTGTCTGCAGTGTCTGTATGACGTCAGTGTCTGCATGATGTCAGTGTCTGCAGTGTCTGTATGACGTCAGTGTCTGCAGTGTCTGTATGACATCAGTCTGCAGTGTCTGTATGACGTCAGTGTCTGCAGTGTCTGTATGATGTCAGTGTCTGCATGACATCAGTGTCTGCAGTGTCTGTATGACATCAGTGTCTGCAGTGTCTGTATGATGTCAGTCTGTCTAGCTTCTGTATGACATCAGTCTGTCTAGTGTCTGTATGACATCAGTGTCTGCAGTGTGTATGACATCACAGTCTGCATGACATCATTGTCTTGCTGCAGGGTTTGTATGGCATCAGTCTGTCTAGTGTCTGTATGGTATCAGTCTGTCTAGTGTCTGTATGACATCAGTCTGTCTAGTGTCTGTATGACATCAGTGTCTGCAGTGTGTATGACATCACAGTCTGCATGACATCATGTCTTGCTGCAGGGTTTGTATGGCATCAGTCTGTCTAGTGTCTGTATGACATCAGTCTGTCTAGTGTCTGTATGACATCAGTCTGTCTAGTGTCTGTATGACATCAGTCTGTCTAGTGTCTGTATGACATCAGTCTGTCTAGTGTCTGTATGACATCAGTCTGTCTGCAGGGTCTGTATGGCATCAGTCTGTCTAGTGTCTGTATGACATCAGTCTGTCTAGTGTCTGTATGACGTCACAGTCTGGCTACAGTGTCCATATGACATCAGTCTGTCTACACCGTATGATATCACAGTATGTCTAGTGTCTGTATGACTCGCAGTCTACAGTGTCTGTATGACGTCACAGTCTGGCTACAGTGCCTGTACAATATCAGTCTGTCTACACTGTATGATATCACCGTCTGTCTACAATGGAATGTTTACTCATGAGTTGACAGGATGAATCTGTCTGTCAGGACATATAACCTACTATTGGGGACTATGGGGGACGTCAGGCTATTCTACCATGACAAGTGACTTGTTGCAGCCCTACACTGAGTGCCACCACTGACCCAAGGCATGGAGCACACTGGTCACCGACAGGATGCAAGGCAGAGTTGGATGATAAGCTTTACAACACAGGATCTGACAATCCTTGGCAACAAATCCCATCAAAGTATTCACTATATCCACATTAGTAACGTAGATGATCATAAAACAATGAAAGACACAAGACAACAAGATGGAAACTGACACTCATACCCAGCATTCTACACGCATGTGAAAATATAACCCACCTAATTATATCTTTCGAGTTTAAGAACTAACACTCTTCAAGTAAAAAGAATTTCATAAATTTTTGGAAGATATGGAGACTATTTTACTGACATCCTTTTGTCCTGACATCAATGTTTTTGTAAAGCATATTGAGGAGATCAAATTCTGACAAAAAACGCTTAAAATGGAAGAGAATTACAATACCATTATAACCCGTAACCATGAAAATCAATATCAGTAAAAGGGGCTTATTTATTAACATAGATTCCAAAAGTCATTGAACATATTTCATTTTAACGCTTGACTTAAAGCTTCAAACGTCATTCTTAAACTGAAAAGTAAAAGCAGTCTGTTGTTTTAGAAACTGGCCTGAAGTTTTGGTAAATCTGATGGATACACGTGTCAAGATTTCCATTATACATCCCCTGCTTTAAAACGTCTGACTGATCTATTGTATCTGTCTCCCGAGACATATGTTTGACTGCGGACAAGGCGTTAAGAAATACCACTCAATCTGAGAACAGGCAACATGCATTAGGAGACTTCAAACAAAATGCACCAATAAAGATGTCTCATACTTAGTTCAGAACACACGCATCAACAACTTGAGCTAGAGGCAGAGATATTATACCACTTTAAAAAAAATGGAAAAACAAAACAATTGAAACAATTAAGAAAAAGAATAAATAGCCAAATTTGACGAACATGTATTTGTTTCTCTATAAAAATTTATCATGTATATTTTCATTCAAGACCTTAAATTTTGAAGCAAAATGGAAAATGGAATCACTGTTAAATCCTGAGATTTTGCACAGTGCCACATATCTTTGCCTCGGGTCTAGTGTCAAGTATCCATGCATAAAGTACAAGGGACAATCTGGTCAGTATGCACCTATCCTATACGTTCAGAGAAATTCAAAATCTATCAGCTATGGAAATGACATATTCTATAACGAAGAAACTTGGTCTTGACAATGGGACTAGAAACACAGTGGTCATGGAAGACATGAAACAAAAATAAACCAAACTAACCCACGACATTCCCTGTCCAGTTTCAGAATTTTGCTTTTTCCAAGAAGAATTATTCATTCTAGTTGGTGTTCACATTGAAGCATATGTTTACAATTATTCACCTGTCTCTTGAAATCTGCATGAATTTCAAGGTTTCCAATTCTGAATTAACTGCATTTGAAATAACAACAATCATAATCAATCGTAAACAGTCCAGAATATTCACATTCACATATGTCTCGAACAAAATGAGAGTTTTACATGACCACTGAACAACAACTTAAAACGATCAGGTGGTTTTTACTCTCACCTGTCTTCTTAAGTGTTAACGAGTTCTTACCTGGTTCCTCTTCTTCATCTCCCTTCTTTTTCTTCTTCTTGGCCTTCTCCTGTTCCTCCTGCGAGGCCCCGAGTAGAGCGAAGATGATGCCGGTCTGGGAGTTGACCCCCACTGCTGTCACTAGCATCTTTCCACTTCCCTCCATGACATGAGTACCTGCAACAGTCAGGCAGTGGTTGAGTGAGTGAGTGAGTGGGTGGGCGAGGTGAGGTGAAATAGGGTTTAACGTCGTGCTTAAGAATATTTCACTCATATGCCGACGTGCATGCGTACGTGTGTATGTGTGGCTGCTTGTACTAGCCCAGGCTGAAGCTGGTTTTATAGTGCTATCTCACTGAGATACCATGCCGCAGTTAAGCATGGATACCCCAATCAGACACATTATACTGACTCCAAGCCGACCAGTTCTTGTTGTACCCATTAATGCCGAGCGCCAGGTAGGCACCAACAAGTACCATATTTTAACATCTTTCGGTATGACGCGGCCGGGGATCGAACCCGCGACCTTCCGCTCTCTGGCCAGACGCTCTAACCACTACACCACCCGGCGGTCCGAATGGGTGGGTGGATGGGTGAGCAGTTGAGTGAGAGAGAGTGATGATAGGCGAATGAGTGAGTGAGAGGGTGGGTGTATGGGTGAGTAGTTGAGTGAGTGGTTAAATGAGTGAGAGGGTGGGTGTATGGGCGAGTAGTTGAGTGAGTGAGTGAGTGAGTGGGTGGGTGGATGGGCGAGTAGTTGAGTGAGTGTGATAATGGGTGAGTGAGTGGTTGAGTTGTTAAATGAGTGAGTGAGTGAACTCTTATGAAAGCTTAACTGTAATGCCCCTTGAGACATAACTCATAATAGCCACTGGTTGCGCTGAGATTGAAAGACGAAATTCTTCAAACGTGGCAAGTGTCCTTTTATAGCCAGTTAACTCCCTTGCCCGAGGAGTGAGTAAGTGTTGCTTTATACCGCTTTTAGCAATATTCCAGCAATATCATGGTGGGGGACACCAGAAATGGGCTTCACACGTTGTACCCATGTGGGGAATCGAAACCTTGTCTTCAGTGTGACAAGCAAACGCTTCAAATACTACTTGCCTAACCACCCCTGCTTCAGAAAGATGAGAAATGGCAATGACAGCACATACAGCTACACTACTAACCTGAGAGTAACATAGGGTCTGTGGAGTCGCCTTTCTTGACATGATCTGATTCTCCCGTAAGCGAGCTTTCATCAATTTTTAAATCATTACTTTGAATCAGAACACCATCAGCTGGTAAAAGGTCACCTGGAACAAAGGTACAATCATGATAACATGAAATACATTCTTTTGACATTAAATTACAAAACAACCCAAAGAATGTAAAGTTTGGGTTCTGTAAGTAAGTCAGTAGAACTGCTTTGAGAAGTATTTCAGTCACATAAACACACAAACCAAAAGGTGGGGGAGAAAGCTGGGTGCAGGAGTACTTGGAAAATATTTCAGATTTCTGAAATATAACTTGTACATGTCTTTTGTTTGTACCTGAAACAATCAATACATAAATATATATATGTATCATCCTAAACTGTGTCCCACTGAAGATATTGCTTGTGTGTGATCAAATCATATATCCTAGGAGATATCGTTTTGACAATAGATTTTGTATAATGCATTCACATCATCAAGTACATGACTCACAATGATATGACGCCATACACTTGATGACATCACAATGCTATGACATCGCTGCACATGACAGTACCGTGTTCAGAGATATACATTTTTTATTGAAAACTAATGAAGAGTGATTTTGGGTGATAAATAGAATTTTACCCTCGTGTCTACTGATATCAATTATATCAACAAATAATGTTACAAATATCCAAGGATTGCCTTGTGGGGAATCGAACCCGGGTCTTTGCCATGACGAGCAAACGATTTAACAAAGGGGATACCCCACTGTCAAAAATAAGCCATAAAATATGGGAATATTTCCTAGGGGTGTGAAAAACACAAAAGTCGTACACAGTACATTCTTACTTTATCTGCACAGATAGTTAGATATATATCAGATTAATGTAGACTGCGGGAATATATTTGCATCCTGGTACTTGTCGGTCTCTGAAACTCAAACAGTTGTGTAGGATCCGTGACCTACATCTGGTATATGCTGTCTTTACAGGGTTAACTTCTAGGGTGAGTGAGTATGGGTTTACGCTGCTTTTAGCAATATTCCAGCAATATCATGGCGGGGGACACCAGAAATGGGCTTCACACATTGTTCCCATGTGGGAAATCGAATCTGTGTATTCGGCGTGACGAGCGAACGCTTTAACCACTAGGCTACCCCACCACCTCCTTAACTCCTAGAACCTTATGACACAGACTCACATTACTTCCTGCAGATCAATGTAATCTTCGAATGGGAATATATATAGATATATCAGATTATATATACATTGTGTTAAACATTGTGACAATAGTCCACATAGTAGTGAGTGAGTGAGTGAGTTTAGTTTTACGCCGCACTCAGCAATATACCAGCTATATGGCGGCGGTATGTAAATAATCGAGTCTGGACCAGACAATCCAGTGATGAACAGCATGAGCATCTGCGCAATTGGGAACCGATGACATGTGTCAACCAAGTCAGCGAGCCTGACCACCCAATCCCATTAGTTGCCTCTTTCGACAAGCATGGGTTACTGAAGATCAATATTCTGACCCGGATCTTCACAGGTATGTCCACATAGTAATCTCAATGTGTTTTCAATAATTTTACACTCTCACCTAGTTTCCAAATTCACAACATTGGCTAGAAAAATGACATAATTCATGTTAAATTGTTATAAAAGCATTTTTTTTCTGTATAGAAAAAATATAATACCCTTCAAGTGAGTGCGTGGGAAAAAGAGTAGGATCTTAAACCTCTATTAGTGAGTGAGTGTGGTTTTACGACAATTTTAGCAATATTCCAGCAACATCACGGCGGGGGGACACAGAAATGGGCTTTACACATTGTACCCATGTGGGGAATCAAACCCGGGTCTTTGACGTGATGAGCGAACACTTCAACCACTACCCCACCGCCCCAAACCTCTTTTAGGAATATTACACAAGTTGGTTACCTCTCACGACAAGCATCATGAGGACTAAACATGTACACATGCTGTGTCTTTCAAAAATGATTATATATAGCTTTACAGTCTCACACAAGTATGCTGTAACCATCCTGGCTCACTTGCCCAGAGAACAAGGCCTGAATCGTGAACAACAAAGTCATTTCAATGACACACTGGAGAATTAGTTTGGTACTGGCATTGTAGATTTTGAGAAAAAAACCATATATCACTACTTGATTATATCTGAAAAGTATTATGTTAAAAAAGCTGTTGTCATTGATAGTCATTAATTGTTATATTTTTCCATCAGTGCTCCATGACAAATCCCCTGCATAGTCCTCATTACCAGACTTTATTGACAGTACACCTTCCCCATCCCAGCTGAGATGGCCTACTTAGCCAGTAACAGAAGATCAATACACATTCGTCCTTCTTCAAAGTCAGGAGTGCCAGCTTGTGTAAGTAATGTCTCTTGCACACTGCTGGAACAAACCTGAGCCTCCACTAACAAACCTTCCCACCATACCCTCAACACACGAACCTTCCAACCGTATCCTCAACACACAAACCTTCCAACCATACCCTCAACAGACAAACCCCCTACCCTTAACCCCCTACCCACTACCCTCACAAACGCAAACCTTCCAACCCTGACCCTCAACACACAAACCTTCCAACCTAAGTCTCAACACACAACTGACCATTCCCTACCTTCAAGAAAGAAACCTTTCAATCCAACCTTCAAGACACTAAACCCTCAACACATGAGCCTCTATCCCAATATTAAAAAACACAAACACCCCAACATTCAAACCCAACCCTCAACATTCAAACCCAACCCTCAACATTCAAACCCTACCCTCAACCCCTAATCACAACATTCAAACCCTACCCTCAACATTCAACCCCTAAACTCAGCACACTACCCTTCCCTAAGAAACTCTAACCATCACTCTTATCTGAAACTCTAAGAACTCCACCATATTATTTCTTAACCCCAACAACCTTCTTTTCATCACAAACCAATATCAACTCCTCTGAATCCTCCTTAATCCAAAATACCCCTAACACAATATTGTTCCTGAAACACCCTAACCCCTGACCTCCATAACACAATACCCTAACACAATATTGTTCCTGAAACACCCTAACCCCTATCCTCCATAACACAATACCCTAACACAATATTGTTCCTGACACAATAACACAATACCATAACACAATACCTATTGTTCCTGAAACACCCTAACCCCTATTGTTCCTGAAACCTCCATAACACAATACCCCTAACACAATATTGTTCCTGAAACACCCTAACCCCCTATCTCCATAACACAATACCCCTAACACAATATTGTTCCTGAAACACCCTAACCCCTTACCTCCATAACACAATATTGTTCCTGAAACACCCTAACCCCTTCCTCCATAACACAATACCCCTAACACAATATTGTTCCTGAAACACCCTAACCCCCTGCCTCCATAACACAATACCCCTAACACAATATTGTTCCTGAAACACCCTAACCCCCTACCTCCATAACACAATATTGCTAGAGAAACATGACAACCCACTACCTCCACAACACAATAGGCCTATAACTCATAACACAATAATGCTCCTCAAAACCCTATCCCCAGCACACTATTCTCCCACACCAACACATGATCTAGCATCACCCAATTTAATTCCCCCCTCCTTCATTGTACTGCAATCATCTGATGGTCACCCTACCTATCTGTCCCTTTCAACTCCTTGCCAGCACCTTATCCCCCGGACCCTCATTTTCCCTTCACCCCTTCCCTCCCCTACTCCAATCAGCCAGTTCTCCCCCATCCTAACCTGCTTTCCCTTGGCTGTGGCATCCATGTTTCTATTAATCTGGTCTTACGACGGTTACATCCAAGCTCAGCATTATCTTAATGCATAACACATGAGGTTTCTTAGAGTCGACAAGGAATCAACCACCTTAGCCCGTCTTGCCAACCTCCAGGACAGAATATAAAATATTGATCTAAGCTAAATCTCCCGTATATTTACGGTGCCGACAATTCCGATCACTCATGACCTGTTTAGCAACGTACGCGCATTACTAACGTCAGGCAAAGTCCTTGTAAATAACTCATGTTTCGTGCAGGCTCCCTGTAAGATGAATTAAGTGTCCACTATTTATTTGTCAATGCTTTTTTAACAAAGCAACAAGTGTAGTTTCACTAAGAATTAATGTACTTTCCAATCCTGTTTATAGGAATTTCTCCAGAGACTGGAGGATAATGGTGATGTTTAAGCCAGTTATACACCACGTAACTCTGGTAAATAAATCTGTATTCTTCGCACCTAAGCTTGGAATTGGTATGCACGTGCCATCTGCCTGTATAATGAAAGCTTTTACTTTGTGAAGGGCAAATGTGCAAGAAGGCTTTAATTATAGCAGACTCGGACCAGAAGGGAATAGCCGACACACTGAACCGGTATCGATCCCAGATATCTCAGTATGGATCAGTGCGTCGGCTGGATAGAACTGCATTGACTCATTACTCTGCCAACATAGCTGAGGGTAGAGGGTGGTTAAGTCATTCCTTTAATATCATCTGCTCCTCTGTCTATGGGCAACATTATCCATGTTTCCAGCCTCCCTCAACAGAATGACCCAAACAGCTCGGGTTCTGATTGACTACTGATGTTGCTTGTAGTTTGACAACAGCCCCCATCCCACTCATGGAAAGTGATTAAATTTGCATCGGCCTTCCGAGACGGTCGTAATGAGGAGGAGAGAGAAGTGTATAGATCAAGCACCAAGTGGGCACATATCGATTCGTCCAACTGGGTAAGCTCACTCAAAGAGCTGACACTGCCAACTTGCACATCAATACATCTGCCTGTCGTTACCCTACAGAATAAAAAAAAAAAAATCACGATGGCCATGGATATTATGGATTATGGAAATGAGAAAAGACTAATCCATTGTCGAAATAGAATTCTGTTAGATATCCATTAGACTGTGTTAAAGATTGCACTGGAATATCAAACAGGCATCAACAGTCACATAGCGGAGCTGAAGTGTGCTATGTCAAGGGAGATAACTCTTCATGCCATAAAGATGTCCAATTGCTGTATATGACGTTGATGTATGTTTTAGAAGAACTTGGTGATATCAGCATGTGTTAATCCACGTAATTCCTGCTGGCTGTTTACCGGAGGACAATCAATGAATCCTCACTTTTCTGATTATATTTTTACAATGACTTCCCAAAAGCAGGAAAACACAAAATACACGGAAACAAACTAATCCAAGAAAGAAAAAAATCTCATCCAAAAGAAATTCCGCCTGTTGGTAAAATCCACAAACGTTGGTGACGCCACGAGGACAACTTACCATATTTTACTTGACAAATATCTCCCACAACTAAATCTCCTACAGAAATTTGTTCCAACTCTCCTGCACGGATCGTGGCAAAGCGATGCTCATGCTCTATCTTGTTCTGAAGTCCACGGAACTGTTTCTCCTTGCTCCAGTCATTGAAAGCAGTCACTAGCACTACTACAGCCACTGCCACCAGGATGGCCAGGCCATCAATCCACCCAGCAGCCTCTTCCACGCTTGAATCAGACCCATGCTCTTCCTCCTCCTCCGCTACTGCAAAAGCAAAACACAAACCGTCAGTTTGGCATGTTACTACACATCTGTAATGTCACACATAGATATATTCCAGTGAGTGAGTGAGTGAGTGAGTGAGTGAGTGAGCGAGTTTAGCTTTACGCCGCACTCAGCAATATTCCAGCTATATGGCGGCGGTCTGTAAATAATTGAATCTGGACCAGACAATCCAGTGATCAACAGCATGAGCATCGATCTGCGCAATTGGGATCCGATGACATGTGTCAACCAAGCCAGCAAGATTGACCACCCGATCCTGATAGTCACTTCTTACGACAAGCATGGGTTACTGAAGGTTCATTCTAACCCGGACATTCACGGGTGGAATGAATGAGTGAGTGAGTATGGTTTTGGGCTGCTTTGGGCACTATTCCTGCAATAGCCAGTAAGATTACAACAGAAATGGGCTTCACAGATTGTACTCATGTGGGGAATTGAATCCGGGAAAATTCCAGTTATAACCATGATATAGAACTCCATATAAAAAGGTGGCTGGAACTCAGCTATATTCCAGTTGTATTCATGACATAAAACTCAACAATACATGTAAGACAACGGCTGGTATTCAGTTATATTCCATACACTCATGACATAAATTTAACTACAGTCGCAAGACATGGCGGCTTACACAAGGGCTATATTCCAGCTATAGTCATGTTATAAAACACAACTACAGTCTTAAGATTTGGCTGGCATTCAGTAATTGACCTCATCAATTGATTTCCATCACCTTTTTCAATTATTGGTTGCTCGCGACCAAATCGAACTCTGGACCAATGTATAACATAAGAAAGACAATTGCTACCATCGCTACAATGACGTTATAAACTGTGTGAATGACTTTTCATAAACTGTGTGAGAGTAGGGCTAGTACCACAGTGATATGACAGCGTATGCACAGTGGACGTCTAGTACCCAGTGATACGACAGCGTATGCACAGTGGACGTCTAGTACCCAGTGATACGACAGCGTATGCACAGTGGACGTCTAGTACCCAGTGATACGACAGTGTATGCACAGTGGACGTCTAGTACCCAGTGATACGGGACATAGCCCAGTATGCACAGTGGACGCCTAGTACCCAGTGATACGACAGCGTATGCACAGTGGACGCCTAGTACCCAGTGATACGACAGCCGTATGCACAGTGGACGTCTAGTACTAGTATATGACCCACAGTGGATAGTACCCAGTGATATGACACAGCGTATGCACAGTGGACGCCTATGCACAGTGGACGTCTAGTACCCAGTGATACGACAGTGTATGCACAGTGGACGTCTAGTACCCAGTGATACGACAGTGTATGCACAGTGGACGTCTAGTACCCAGTGATACGACAGTGTATGCACAGTGGACGTCTAGTACCCAGTGATACGACAGTGTATGCACAGTGGACGTCTAGTACCCAGTGATACGACAGTGTATGCACAGTGGACGTCTAGTACCCAGTGATACGACAGTGTATGCACAGTGGACGTCTAGTACCCAGTGATACGACAGCGTATGCACAGTTGACGTGCAGAGCAACACAATAAAAAATAATTAAAATTTTGCCCAGACCCATTGCCCTTTTAATGCTATCACCTGTCATGATGTGAAATTAGATTACATCTTGGTGTTAACTTATTTCAAATTAATTTCACACTCAGTCATGCACAACCAATGATGGCGATGTTTGTAAAATAATCATTTTCTGTGTAGCTACTTTTCTAATCCAATCAGCCAATTGTAATTGATCAACGAAAAAACCTTTGAAATCCAATTTCAGAAATATGCAACATCTGCCTTTTCCTCCTGAACACAGAAAAACACCTTTCATTTTGAATCATTGTAGAATTGGAAATAATGAATATTTAATGAATGACATCAATATATTGCATTTAAGTGTTTGAACAAGAAGTTGTGGATGCATTCCCAACTGCAACTCAATATCTTATCTTTTGTAATTGCCTGTTCACAATTGTAAGCCTGATAACGCAATATTCTTCTTCCCTTGGAGAACACACATTGACAACAGGGGAGGTGAAAGGAATGGTCAATAGATGAGCCATTCCTTTGTACCAACTAGGAATGTGACATGCATGCTAAAAGCCGTCATGATAACATAAATCAATCTTGTTTGTAGTTTGAAAAAGAGTTACACAACATAATTCAGTTGTTGAATTACAAAACACGTACATGAAAGATGTGATGAATATGAAAAGTAAAACCAAATAATTTTGGTTTAATTTTAGTTTAATATTTGTTTGTTGCACTTGTATGTTCCAGAAATATGACAGCAACACGGAAATAGGCTTGTCTGGACCAGTCGACAGAGTGACTGGTATTGTGAACAACAATCAATCAAGTCAGGTCACAGCGACCCTAAGTCATCCGAGTCTGACCACTCGATCCTTACGTCATCTCTCACAAACCCATGAATATCCGGGATAGAATATCAGCAACCAATGCATGTCGCAAGAGGCGACTAATGGGATCGGGTGGTCAGCCTTGCTGGCTTGGTGGACACATGTCATCGGTTCCTAAGTGCGCAGATCGATGCTCATGCTGTAGATCACTGGAATGTCTGGTCCAGACTCGATTATTAACCAATATAGCTGTAATATTGTTGAGTGTGGCCTTAAAACACAACAAACCATCTCTCACAACCAGCCTCGGTTGCTGGAGGCTTCTAGATTATTTACAGACCGCTGCCATATAGCTGTAATATTGCTGATTGTGGCCTGAAAAGGACAACAAACAAACCATCTCTCACAACCAGCCTCGGTTGCTGAAGGCTTCTAGATTATTTACAGACCGCTGCCATATAGCTGTAATATTGCTGATTGTGGCCTGAAAAGGACAACAAACAAACCATCTCTCGCAACCAGCATCTGTTGCTGGAGGCTTCTACTAACAGGTAATCCCAATTAGGTTCTGCTAGTATGTATGACATGGTGAAATATGCACATAATCACCAACTTATTAACTCCAATATCTAAATGCACATATACATCAGCTGAGTAACAGGAACATATTCTCTGGAGCTACATCGATAACAGTATTTTCTACATACTATAGAAAAACAAGTGATGGGTCATGAGACAACAGATTACTCTATGACAAGATGACATGACACAACTTGCTATAACATGTTTGTTATTTTAGAGATACAAAAACATTGCAGGTACTTATAGTCAATTGCTCGAAGAACAACACATGGAAATGCTTGTGGTGTCTCCTACCACGGTATGCATGTTATATATAGCCATTAAGTGTTTATAACTCATATGACCTTGACATATAGATGAAGGAAGGTATAGCTTCATGCATGTTCCGGAAGACAGGCCTGTCAAGCACCTGCTAAACACCAGCACTAACTGGCTCTCTTTCAGAGCACGTGCTTGTAAATGTCTTGACAGTGCTTGGAAGGTGTATGTGAGAGAGTGAGGGGAGTTCACCCCTAGTTTCTCTTTTAGTTGCACTATGGTGTCGGAGTGCTGGGTGTTGGGTAGGGTGTTTGGTGAGCCTGTGCTTACAGAAAGACTAAGTTCAATGGTCTGAAGTCCGTTGTCAGACTAGATCTGCACTTCGTCATTTGTCCTAAGTGAGAAATGTATACATAACAGGGTCATCCAGAATGTGAGTTTGAGTGAGTGAGTGAGTGAGTGAGTGAGTGAGTGAGTGAGTGAGTGAGTGAGTGAGTGAGTGAGTGAGTGAGTGAATGAGTGAGTGAGTGTGATGTTTAAACTGCACTCGGTAAATAATCAAGTCTGGACCAGACGATACACTGACAGATATTACACACATTCCCAAATCACCGAGCCTGACCATCAGATCCATTACGACAAGCACAGATGGCTGAGAACTAATCCTAACATGTAACCACTATGAGTGAACTACAATCACAATGCCAGGATCATTTTTATTATAAGATATGAGTTACACACATACAAGGCAAGTTTCATGACTGTAACATGACTATAAAGCCCATTTCTGATACCCTTGTAATGACATTGTTGGAACATTGCTAAACACCATATTTACTCGTAATAAGTTGAGCTGCAGTTTTGGAAAAGCTGAATTCTACAACCAAACAAACAGACAAACATCGAAAGTGAAGCATGTTGTGGATGTTTGCTGAGAAGCCAGCACAAAATGGGACCATTAAGACTAAATCTGGCATCTATGGCATATATCAGTGATCTTCCCAAACACTACCAGTCATTAATACCAAATTACACAGTACAGTTTAGTTGAAAATGCAATCTTAAAATTACTCTAATTATTTTATAACCTAAACTACAAAAAATCTATAAACCCTCCCGTCAGGTGATACATTATAATCATTACTGGATGAGTTTGTCACAACTGAGGCAATCTAATGTCTAGTTTAAATTACACGAAATGTGTTTTGGACAAAACGTCTCCAATATTTCATGTAATCACACAGGAAAAATATTTTGTTTAAGTGTTTGTATATATTTAAGTATAACTGCCAATATGTAACTGGTAACAACCTTGACTAATACATTACTTGAGCATGCAATATTGCCTAGCGTTTGCATTGTGTGATTTGTATTTATAACAAGCTGGGTGAAATGTAGCATGGAGTAACACAGAACAGCTGGCGTAGTGTTCAATAATTCAGTATGTATTTAAGGTTGTGAGCGGTACCATTGTGAACCCTGTTCAACCTTGTATTGTGTCGGTACACATCCACACGTCTTGCTCCAATACACAAACATTGAATCAATACGATGGAAAGAAAAAATATGCTGAAAGTATGTTATTATTTGAAACAATTATTTCTGATTTCAAATACCGGAGAAACATTAATTTAGCATGTGAAATCAGAATTTAAAGGTTTTAATGAAAATAAATGATTCCATTCTTTCCTTCATCTCTCATTTCCTCTTTCACTCCATCACTCAATGCCTCCTATTTTCCTTCCTTCTGGTCTGTATCAAGATCCAAATATCTCAAAATATCTTAC